GACTAGTCTGGTGGCATACCTCTGAATCTTTTCTAAATTTGTCTTGTGTTTAATTATGTATGGACTCCAGGCTAGAGCTGTATACTCCAGGATTGGTCTGGCATCAGTGGTATACTCTTGAAATAGCACGTTCTCTGTAACTAACCGACATTGTAACTATAAGGAGTCAAGGATAGATGAAATTGTTTATGTAATAATCTAAGATGAGGTCTGATAAAGACCTTTTGTGCCCTCTGTAATGCTTTTTGCGCTACCGCTCGCAGGATGGGTATGGGGTGCACAATAAACTAGCTGCCTCCGGCGGCAATAATCAATCAATCAGTGGTATACAAATCCTGAACAATTCTTTACACAAGTTTTTAAATGCACTTCTTATGTTGGTCAGTCTAGCATATTCCCCTGATGATATCCTTTTGATGTGGGCCTCTGGGGACAGGTTCGGTGTGATATCAACCCAAAGATCTTTCCCTCTATTTGACTCTTGCAGGATTTCACCTCCCAGATGGTACCTTGTGTTCAGCCTCCTGTTCCCTTCGCCTAATTTCATTAATTTACACTTTCCTGAGTTGAACATTAGAAGCCATTTTCTAGACCATTCCTCCAGTTTGTCCAGGTCATCCTGTAGTCTCTGTCTATCTTCATCTGTCTTGATTCTTCTCATAATTTTTGCATCATCAGAAAACATTGAGAAGAATTAGTCAGTTGTCTGACTAATTAGTCAGAGTCTATACCCTCTGGAAGATCGTTTACATATATTAGATTCAGGATGGGTCCAAGTACAGAGCCCTGTGGGACTCCGCTGGTGACATCGTTTTGGTACATAGGGTTAGTGTTAGACTACAAGGATCAGAGAGGTGAAAAGAGAGGAAGGAGACAGAGAGAGGGATGGTATGGGGGAAACAGAGGGAGAGGAGTATATAGGGAAAAGGTGGAGGGTAGATGAGAGCCGAGAGGGGACAGGGAAAGGGAGATTGGTGGGTGCAGGGAGGGGTGAAGTGGAGAGAACAGAGATAGAGAAAAGCTGGAGAGAGAGAAAGAGAGAGAGAGAGAGAGAGAGAGAGAGAGAGAGAGAGAGAGAGAGAGAGAGAGAGAGAGAGAGAGAGAGAAAGTGAGGGGGAGAGAGGGAGTGAGGGAGAGAGAAAGGAGAGTATGACGGGGGAGGAAGGGAAGGAGGCTCTATATTGGAGAGTGAGGGTGAAGGGGTTGGTGTGGTTGGTGGTTGGGTTTATGTGAGGGTGTGTGTGGGGGGGAGGGGGTATTGGGTGAGGGGGGGGTGGGAAGGTGGGAGGGTTAGGTGGTGGCGGGTAGTGACATATTGCTGTGAAAACTAGTACCCAGACGAGCCGTATATCGTCTCGAGATACGTAGTGTGTGTGTGTGTGTGGGATGGGGGGTTAAGTCCTCAGAGAGAAGCCTCCAGGTATGTAGGTCCATTAGTGGAGGAAATGAGAGAGCGTGTTGCTTATTATTACCTATTTCCAGCCATGTATCCCCTGACCACACCCATGTATCCCCCTGATCACACCATGTAACCCCTGACCACACCATGTAACCCCCTGACCACACCATGTAACCCCTGACCACACCATGTAACCCCTGACCACACCCAGCCATCCCTATAGGTCTCCCCATCTTTCCTCAGCCAATAATTTACCCACAACCCTAGCCAAACCATCCCCCCCCCCCATCCAAGCCCCGCCTCACCCACCGCACATTTCTCACACTCTTTAAACTATGTCCAAACTCCCGCTCCCCCTCTCCCTTCTCCCCACTCCCCCTCCCTTCTCCACTCTCCCTCTCTCCTCTCCCCGTCAAAGGAGACACAGGTGTGTTGTGTAGCGAGGCAGCGATCACCGAGCAACTGTTCCCCTCATCCTGGGAACCTTCAGGAGCCGACCTCTACGCTTCGCCAAAGCCAGGATTCATCAAGCCTTAAGATACCTCTTGCGAAACCTGTACATCTTTCCTCAATCACAACGACTTAGTTTGTACATATAAAACGGTTTATATATTTCTACATATAAAACAGTTGTACATTTGTACGTATATGGAGAGCTCCGATACTTTCCATAATAATGACCTTGGGTTGCGAGGCTTCGAACCAAGTAAATTGTTTAATAAATGCCAACTAAACTGCCGTCATCGAGGAAAGATGTACAGGTTCCGTAAATGAACACGAAAATGCTCGAGATATCCCGGCCATGGGCGACCGAGGGAGTTGATTGAGAGAAAAAATGATATCCTCGCAACTATAGTCTATTCAGTATCGTTGAATACCTCAGGCACCCGCCGACAACAGTCTTATCGCCACTATGTATATCAGTGAAAGAAAAACAATACTTTTAAATATATAAAAAAAAAGAGAGAATCCGGCTAATCCGGTAACCATCCTTTTGTTTCCCAACGGTCGCGCTACCGTTCGTGAGTTTGAATCCGCCTGCGGAGGTCGCGCGTCGGGTGGGATGCTGATCTCTTTACTCATCTCTCCAGTAAAGCGAATGCAAAATAAAGTGTGTAAATGACATACATTTACTGTAAAATATATCTTCACTATGTTTACAATAGAGTACAGTAAAACTCTTACGATATGTTTACGTTGAAGGATGTTTATAGAGGCACTAAAGGTTGGCGCGTCTTATAGGAGTAAGGATGGTAAGGTGCAGGTCCCCCAGGGTACCCCAAGTGTGCAGGTCCCCCCAGGGTACCCCAAGTGTGCAGGTCCCCCGGTGGTTTCTCTGTCTCTTTTGTCTGTCTGTCTGTCTCTATGTCTTTCATTACTGTCACATCCCAAATCCTTATCATTCCAAGTGCTATATATATATATATATATATATATATATATATATATATATATATATATATATATATATATATATATATATATATATATATAGGGTTAGTGTTAGACTCCAAACAAACATATATATATAGAGAGAGAGAGAGAGAGTCTAATGGCTTGGCGATTTCCTCTGCTAGTTACCTTTCCTTTCTCTGTTTGTCTACCCCTATCTTTCTATGTCTGCCTCTAGGTCTGTGTGCCTCTATTTCTCCCTCGATGTCTGTGTTACGGCCAGCTGGAGCCAGTATCCAGGTCCTTTCTGCGTAACGTGCCTTATAGCCTCTTCTATACTGCTACCCCAAGACAATGGTCAGTTCTCAGGAATTGAGGGGTAGTCAATTCAGTAACAGTGCATCCGAACAGTAACAGTTACATCCGAATTGACGGTAGTCAGTCAATTCGGATGTAACAGTGCAAGGAATAAAGGGGGTAAACAACGCGCAATTACATCTTCACCGATATATTATATATAGAAGTATAACTACACTTATGTACACAGTGTCACTTTCACCCAGGACTCTGCATATATCTGCAGTGTTCTTCAGAGTCCGGTGACTTCAATATCTTCAAGTACAGGTCGTCCACGCTCAATGGTATTCACCGGCGAGTTCACCTTCCTCAACATGGGCCAGTCCACACACCGTATCGTCACCATGTCACAATACCCAACATCTGCTCTCCAGAAACACCCTGGCAGAGGGCTTCAGCAACACGCTGACGGGGATCACAAATAATCACTTCCAGGGGGCTCTAACACCTTGGCAGAAGTCTCTAGCAACACATTAGCAGCACTTCTCAGCAGACAACCCCTACTGTCTTCTTGTAACTCCTCTTGGCCAAATCCCGAGTACGTCGGTCCACACAACACTACATAAGTACAACAGCCAACACACTGCTTACTACCGACGGCGGTCACTTGTCCTCTCACAGGACCAAGTCAGGAGTTCGGGAGTGCCAGAGGTGATCTAATTGCAACAGCGTACTAGACTCCTCACGTCATCTCTGTAGAAGTCATTAGCCAGACAGAAAGTATATGAGGAACACATAGGACGGCAACCTTTCAACGGGAACTGTGAAATGTAATCGGATGCACAATCTAGATGGCGTTGTTATCGTTACTTCACTCACCAGAGGTCATCATCATCGACCTCACCTCCTGACGTCAGTCCTCAGGAACCTCTCACAAACGCCACACCTCCGCCAATAGATGGCGGTGTCTTCGTCTTACCTAATGACTTGGAGTTGGAGTGCAGGTCCATAGATGGCGCCGAAATCGCCACACATCACTCCATAGAAAGCGTTGATATCGTAACAGTCTGTCTCTAAATTATACATGTTATCTGTACCGCTCCAATTTGTTCTCTCCAAGGGGCTCTATTATTGAGGCTCTTATAGAGGCTCTGTTATAAAACAAGTTTTATTAATTTCCAATATAAAAGGTGTAAAAACTCAAGGAGGTCTACGATTTGCGATAGTTATTTTTGTTGGTGCTATGTAACTAATATTGTGATATAAAGTTTAGAAAAGAGGGGGATTGGTAAGAGAAGACACCATACAAGTGCATACGTAAGTAGGCTCACAAGGCTCCCCCATATACTGTATCTTCTCTTCTCCGAGGCAAAGGGTCCCTGCAAACACAGCCATTCAAAGCCTATTTACTTTACATACAAATAACTTTTTTGTGTTCAGATACTGACCAATGTTTCATGCGAATGGTTTTGTACCGACCAATCACAGACCGTGTTTATACTGTGCAGTGACCTTTGACCTCTCATGTCATTCGTTATAAGAACCATTTAGTTGGCACATTTGGCGAACTGCCTCGAGCTGTGACCCCCAACCCTGGTTACGGTTTTTCTAATTGCTTCGTAATTGAAATTGATGGGATTGAAAATGGGATTTTGATCGCTGCTCGCTGGTTGGGAGCATTTCATTAATGTGATAGCTTTGTTATGTTTGGGAAACATTGCATTGTTGGTATTATCGTCGTCTTCGTCAATGGTGTGATTATTTCTACCACCGGTGTGTGTGTGTGTGTGTGTGTGTGTGTGTGTGTGTGTGTGTGTGTGTGTGTGTGTGTGTGTGTGTGTGTGTGTGTGTGTGTGTGTGTTGAGTGCGTTCTTTAGATCCAAAAATCCATCAATATCCTTTTTCCTTGCAGGTGGAGACGGAGGTTGGCCTCCTTCAACTTCTGTATCTTTGAGTCCTCGGAACCGTCTTCTGGAGAGACAGAAGTTGTCCACTTCTGCCAGAGGACTCCTGAAACCTGCTAACCTTCTGCAAGAACCTCTCATCGGCTCTCTCTTCAGGACCCGACCACAGAAATCCTGCGAAGGATGTACCAACTAGTCAAGTTTGCTACTGTTTCGAACTCTCATCAATATGAACCTGGCGAAGCGTTCAGCGGGGATTTAAGATGAGCCGAGAATGGTTGTTCCACGAGTCGTAGCTACGACAATTATCAGAAATGTAGAAGACACCAAAACTGGCACTGGTGCCTCTCTTGCATCGTTCAGGCGAGAGAGCTTCAGCTGACATAGTGAAGAAGTTCTGGACGTCAACACTAGCCCAGGCGAGGGACAGTAACCGCACCAGTCGACGAAGGAGGAGGAGGAGGAGAAGGCGAGGATAAGGGGGATAGGAGGAAGGATGTGCAGGTGGGTAGGACGGTGGTGGGAAAGCGTGTTGGTGGTGGTGTTTGTGGTGTGTGTCGTCCACGCCGCCATGATCCAGAAGAGAAGGAAGACGGCGCTCGTTGAGGGAGACATTCTCATCGGCGCGCTCTTCTCCGTCCACCACCAACCCAAGCAGAAGAGTGCCTTCACCCTCACCTGTGGCGAGGTCAGTTGCTCTCACCTCTGTGTCTTCCTCTCTCCACCCCTTCCTTGACGTCCTTCCCTTCCCTCTCTTTACCTCCCTCCCGCCCTACCCTCCTGCCCCATCATCTATAATGACCCTGACACATTATTGGTTTACTTTGAAAGCCTCGTTAATTTTGCTCTTTGTTAATATTTTTAATAGAGATAGAGGGGGTGGGGGAGGGAATGATCATTAAAAATATCTGTTCCTTCATTATTTCAACTGGTTAGAATACAATGATGAAGTTCAAATTAATTTGGATGTTTGGGCAGGTTTGAACAGGTAAGGTCAGCACATTTCTGACAACAATGATATATCTGGGAACACACACTGGCAGCCTCAGAAATAATAGTTGGCTTAGATAGCCAGCGACTTACTGTTCACTTTTTAGTGATTAAAATGATTGTCACCATAAAATGTACCATAATTATAATAGTGTATATAATTTTTCGCATAGCAACTAGTGGTCAAAGTTATTTAGCAACTAATGGTTAATGTTTTTAGCCAAAAGTGGTCAAGTTAACAAAGGTAGTTTAAAACAGAGAGATTATTACAAGCACAGAACCAATTGATGCAGTAAATAGAATGGGATAACTCGTACAATGATAACAAGAGATGTAAATTTAGGGAATTTAGTTTCGGAATAATTGGAGTCTGATTGAGATGGCAGGTGGGACGATATATTTATATATATATATATATATATATATATATATATATATATATATATATATATATATATATATATATATATATATATATATATATACGCACTTGATGTTTGAATGTTGCATGACTCCACGCATGAAGGAGGTGACAGCAGGCCTGCAACAGTCCATTCATCATTAACATGGAGGTTATCAAGAGTGACTATGTACTCATGCGAATTAGGTAATTGATACATTATTACGCGATATACATGTCATAATCACATATGCAAACTAGATTAGATTTTCTTAGGGATTAGTTAAGCTGAGCAAACATCACAGCATCTTTACATAAGAATGAAGAAAAGTACAGAGGGCCTCATAGCCTCCCAAATTCATGCATATATAAGTCTAATCTTCGCTTGAAACAATCCAGGTTTCCGACTGTATTTTGTTACCCAATAATTTAATCCATAAATCAACAGCCTTATTTCTAAACCAGGTTTTGCAAATTACTTTTCTGAATCTAAAATTCAATTTCTATTCAGCTTTTCGTATTCTGTGTTGATATAATGGCTGTATTATATGACTGAATACTTCAGTCATATAACCTCTTACTCTTCCACCTTCTTAAGAAGGTTCATTAAGCTTTTTATAATATCCTCATAAAGCAAGACTTTTAATTCCTGAGATGAATTCAGGAATCATTTTTATGAAGATGTTCAGGTAAATGTATCAATTCTACATCTTATAGAACGGTCAGAAATCTCTTTAAGCTGAATAATCTTAACGGGCTCAAACACGGGCAAGATTAAGCTGAAGATTAGAATTAAATGTTTGAATTCTTTCTGGGCTTAAGACTTACAAGCTCCGGAAGGTAATTTAGGCTTCATCAATAGCTGACTGACCAACCAGCAAGTAGGCTCCAATACCCACTTGCAATATTCCAGAAATATAATGAGAATCAGTATACGTGTTTTGTTATTATGAGTCTGATGTTCCCAGACACTGTGAGATGGATAAGTGATGTTCCCAGATACTGAGAGACAAGTGATGTTCCCAGATACTGAGAGACAAGTGATGTTCCCAGATACTGAGAGAGATATATGAGAGACTGATGTTGCCAGATGATGTTGAGAGATAAGTCTGATATGCTTGGGTTCTACGAGACAATTCTCAAAGTGAGTGTGAGGACTGGAAGAAAGACTACAGGAGTGAGAGTCAGTACATGTCAAATTAGTGACCCAAGAGAAAACATTACCTGAATGAAAGGTTGCATCTGGCCACGAATGGGCTCGGGTACGGAGCAATGATTCCATCTGCAACAGCATCAATGTTGATGTCTGTGGCTTGTTACCTTGGCATCATCTCCCTCACAGATCCGGGAGCAGTACGGCATCCAGAGGGTGGAGGCCGCCTTCATGACCATTGATAAGATCAACAACGACTCTCAGCTGCTGCCCAACATCACTCTGGGGGTGGAGATCCGGGACTCCTGCTGGTACTCCTCCATAGCCCTGGAGCAGAGCATTGGTTAGTGACCCCTTCACTCACCTGCTCACTCACTCACACACACACACATACACACGCACGCACGCACGCACGCACGCACTCACTCACTCACTCACTCACTCACTCACTCACTCTCTCTCTCTCTCTCTCTCTCTCTCTCTCTCTCTCTCTCTCTCTCTCTCTCTCTCTCTCTCTCTCTCTCTCTCTCTCCCATGAAACCAAAACTATAGTTCAAAATAGAAACATTTATGTACATAAATAAACGCTGAAAAGATACATTGCAACATTAGAAGCCTGACCATAAAAACTTATCAATATAATAATGTTATTATTGCATATTATAATATTAAGTTACAGACGTATAGGGAGCGGCCGGAGCCGGCTGTGTGGCACAGCTCACTTGACTTCACAAATATATAATTGTTCCAAACGCTACTGACCCCAGAGTAAGCTCCTACTCTGGGGTGCCCTGTGTGGTGGTACCTCCCCTGAGACTTGCCCTGTGTGATGGTACAACTCCCTGAGAGCAGCCCCGTGTTATGGTAGCCCCCCCCCCTCATAATAACTCCGTGTACCCTGGCTTCTTCCACAAACAGAATTCATCAGAGACTCGTTGGCGTCGCCCATAGGCAGCACCAACAGCACCCAGCGACCCGACGCCTGCAAGTCCACAACTACAAGCAAGAGACTCGTCGGCGTCGTTGGTCCTGGCTCCTCTGACGTCACTATACAGGTGAGTCGGCGTCGGTGGTCCTGGCTCCTCTGACGTCACTATACAGGTGAGTCGGCGTCGGTGGTCCTGGCTCCTCTGACGTCACTATACAGGTGAGTCGGCGTCGGTGGTCCTGGCTCCTCTGACGTCACTATACAGGTGAGTCGACGTCGGTGGTCCTGTCTCCTCTGACGTCACTATACAGGTGAGTCGACGTCGGTGGTCCTGTCTCCCGGTCGATGGCGGACACAGAATGCTCCATAATCACATGTTCATTTCTATAGGCCATTGCACCTCGTGCCTCTCTGAGGGGGCCAGGTTATCGCTCATGGTCCCCGGTTGGCCTAGAATTCCATTCACATTGACTGATGCCAAAGTCTAATACTGTAATCCATATCAGCCTGGATAGCTCCGGGGAGCCGAAGGCCCCCCCCCCCCCCCCAGAAAACAAGATGTATTGGAAGGCGGCATGAGTTCTAAGGGATTTATTACTGATGTTTGATCTAAGCCACTATTCGTACTTCCATAGTAAATGTTAGATAGGGTAGCGTCGTTGTGGGTGACACTGAGTATCCATATAGTATCATATTTACTTTGTGCAAATTGATACCATAATTTTTTCTGTAGATGATCATATATTATTATGTGTCCGTATATTTTAATGGAAATAATGCCATGATTTGAGGATGATTTATATAGAGTGATCTGAAGGAAATAGTGCTATGAGTTTATGAGGTATTGTATATAGGTGAGTTGAGGAAGTGCGGGAATTTATTGTCCCTATGTTCGTGTACTTTAAAGTCATCCAAGTAGAATGTGAGAAATAACTCTTATAACTTGATTCCGGTTACTTTTATGTTTCTGCATGTGAATTTTTTTAGTAAATTTTAAACTTAAAGTTCTTCTGTTATGTTTCAAAGGAGTAGATATGCACAAATCTAGGGGTATATCTATTCATTTGGGGGATTTCCCCCAGACATTCAACAGCAGACAATGCAACACATTCCCAGGCGCACATCTATGTGAATTAACCCATAGGGAAGAAGTCCAAGCCTAAACCAAAGTGAGACCCCTAACACTGGCTTACTGAAATCGGCATGTATTACGTCGTCACCTTTCTCAGTAGATGTATTTGTGATCTCAAAAATATTTGCAGTGAATATTACACAGTGAGTGTTGCTGTTGGAGACTATTCTGTCTGATGTTAGTGTTCATTACCTTCAAGAGTGCCTTTTTTTGGGTCTCATCTATGTCTTGTCAGCATGTTTCCTACTCGCTTCGGCAGTACATATACTAAAATTGTCAGTATGTTTTAAGTGCAAAATTTTATTCCATCTAGGAGCCCCCGCTAGGAATCGCACTCTATCGTGTTGAATAGCCACAACTTTGGCCCTACTGACTTGGAGAAAGAGTGAATAAGGAAGGCGCTGAATAATCAACTAAGGAGTTAATGGCATACATGTAAAGCATTTCTTAACTCCTTGAAGGGGCCCTGTGATTGCTCTCATTATATAAAATTGGAATTTACTTTCCCTTCAGATATTGAATTTGCTTGTTCAATGTCATTTTCTATTACATCAGTACTGATGTAATCGAAAGTTAAGGTTAATGTCTTGACTAGAAGGTTAATGTCTTGAATGTGTCGGTGTCTGTCTCGAGTGTTGCCACCGTATTTCATTGCCTTACATTTCTGTGCAGATATTTTTAGCGCTAAAATTCTGCATTCAGATGTTACGTCTTGATCCAGCGCCATTTGTGCCTTACTCAAAAGTGAAGAACCTGAGACGACTAATGCTATATCACCAGCAGAGCTTAGCAATTTATCTCCAGCTGCTGACTTCATAACTGCAGGAGCTGATCCAGTGACGTGTGCAGGAACATCTGGCAATCTATCCTCCAAATACGATCGTATATTTAGTGACTGGTAATGTATGTACTGAAAATGAGCTGTTGCATACACAAAAAACAAAATCCACTTTTTTTAATATTGATTTAGTTGAGGGGCGAGAAGGTAATATTGAAATCTAATCTTTCTTAAGCCTAGTATAGAAACATGCATGTATTACCTTAGGCCGGAGAGTGAGTATATTAGACCTAGGACTGCTTATTAGGGCTAAATGACAGGTAAGGTTAATATGGTGGTTAGGTTGTTGTTGTTTGTGCTTTATGTCTCATGTTCCACACTCAGTCACTGCAGGTTCCACCCGACCCACCTCCACCCGACCCACCACCACCCGGCCCATCACCACCCGACCCATCACCACCTGCCCCATCACCACCCAGCGCATCACCACCACCTGGCCCACCCTTCACACTGACTCTGGTCCCCCAACAGGTACAGAACTTGCTGCAGCTGTTCGGCATCCCGCAGGTGGGTTACTCGGCCACCTCGCGGGACCTGAGCGACAAGTCCCGCTTCTCCTACTTCATGAGGGTGGTGCCCTCCGACTACTACCAAGCCCAGGTCATGGTGGATATCGTCAGGCACTACAACTGGACCTACGTCTCCGCGGTCCACACCGACGGTCAGTGCCAGCAGGAGGAGCAGGAGGGGACGGAGCCGGGGAAGGCCATTAGGGCCAACAAAGATTAGATCAGAAATCAACATAATGGCACACTTTTGCTAGATATTCTGTGTCATTTCATCGATGATATTTAGAATTTTGTAGGTCATTATGTCCCTTCTATTTCTCTTTTTCTTACAGTGGCAGGAGGTTCAGCTCACTCGGTCTGTCCTCGTACCTTAGTCCATTATATTCTCGCACTTTACTTGGTTGTAAATTTATGAACGGTCTAAATTTGTCTTTGTTAGTGGTTAGTTACTATAAGCCATGCCCCTGGTGGTGGTTCAGGCAACTATAACCCATGCCCCTGGTGGTGTTTCAGGCAACTATAAGCCATGCCCCTGGTGGTGTTTCAGGCAACTATAAGCCATGCCCCTGGTGGTGGTTCAGGCAACTATAACCCATGCCCCTGGTGGTGTTTCAGGCAACTATAACCCATGCCCCTGGTGGTGTTTCAGGCAACTATAAGCCATGCCCCTGGTGGTGGTTCAGGCAACTATAACCCATGCCCCTGGTGGTGTTTCAGGCAACTATAAGCCATGCCCCTGGTGGTGGTTCAGGCAACTATAAGCCATGCCCCTGGTGGTGTTTCAGGCAACTATAACCCATGCCCCTGGTGGTGGTTCAGGCAACTATAAGCCATGCCCCTGGTGGTGTTTCAGGCAACTATAACCCATGCCCCTGGTGGTGTTTCAGGCAACTATGGCCAGAGCGGGATGACGGCCTTCAGGGAGCTGGCTGAGAGCAACAACATCTGTATCGCCAAGGAGGACTCGGTCCTCAGTAACGCCGAGGACGAGGCCTTCGATATGGTGAGTAGAGCGGGAGAGTGGTAGTGGTAGAGTGGTAGTGGTAGAATAGTAGGGCGGTAGAACGGGGAAGTAGAAGGAAAGAAAGAGGAAGTAGAGGGATAGCTGAAGGAAGTAGATGTGGAAGCTATAGAGGGAATTAGTGAGGTATAGAGAAAGAAAGTTGAGAGGTTGGAAGGGAAGTAGAGGTGTAGAGAGAGAGAGGAAGGAGGAGGGTAGTGTGGGAACATATAGAGAATGAATTAAAAAGAGAACAACCGGGAGACAGATACACACACACACACACACACACACACACACACACACACACACACACACACACACACACACACACACACACACACACACACACACACACACACACTCACACACACATACACACACACACAGACACTTGAAATTCTTCAAGAGTCAGAGAGAGAAAGACCTGGGGGTTGATATCACGCCAGACCTGTCCCCAGAAGCCCATATCAAAAGGATAACATCAGCGGCATATGCCAGGCTGGCCAACATAAGAACGGCATTTAGAAACTTGTGTAAGGTATCATTCAGAACTTTGTATACTATCTATGTCAGACCAATCCTGGAGTATGCAGCCCCAGCATGGAGTCCATATCTAGTCAAGCATAAGACTAAACTGGAAAAGGTTCAAAGGTTTGCCACCAGACTAGTACCCGAGCTGAGAGGTATGAGCTACGAGGAGAGACTACGGGAATTAAACCTCACGTCGCTGGAAGACAGAAGATTTAGGGAGGACATGATCACCACGTACAAGATTCTCAGAGGAATTGAATGGGTAGATAAAGAAAGGCTATTTAACACAAGGGGCACACGCACTAGGGGACACAGGTGGAAACTGAGTACCCAAATGAGCCACAGAGATATTAGAAAGAACTTTTTTAGTGTCAGAGTGGTTGACAAATGGAATGCATTAGGAAGTGATGTGGTGGAGGCTGACTCCATACACAGTTTCAAATGTAGATATGATAGAGCCCAGTAGGCTCAGGAATCTGTACACCTGTTGATTGACAGTTGAGAGGCGGGACCAAAGAGCCAGAGCTCAACCCCCGCAAGCACAATTAGGTGAATACAATTAGATGAGGACAGGCAGACAGACACACACACACAGACATAGAAGAAGGTTAAACAACACGAGACAGGAGACTGTCTGCCTGGACACGTAGACAGACAGAAGCAGCGAGACATTATCCGGCAGCCACCCCCCCCCCCCCGGTCACCTCGCCAGCACGTCTGGAGTCAAGAAAATATTCAGTGTGGGTGAGGCGGGCGGCGAGGGGGAAATGGTTCCTTCACGGTAATTGGTCCAGTGTTCCTCGGAGAGCGACGAGGAGGGTGCTCAAGGAATAGAGGCTAGTGGAGACGACTAGAGGTCAAAGAATAGAGGGTAGTAGTAGTAGAACAGAGACTGATGTGGAGATCACAAAAGGGCCGGGAAAATCACGGTTAGAAGAAACCGCACATCATATAATGATGGTAACAATATTAATTATATAGTCAAAGTTCGTGGGAGAGAATGTGTACATAATAGCGGAGGTCGGATGGAGAGGGGAGAGAGGAGGAGAGAGAGAGAGAGAGAGAGAGAGAGGAGAGAGAGAGAGAGAGAGAGAGAGAGAGAGAGAGAGAGAGAGAGAGAGAGAGAGAGAGAGAGAGAGAGAGAGAGAGAGAGAGAGAGACAGTGTAAACTATACCCAATTTCCTCCTTTATGTAAAGTCAAAACATTTGCTTCCTTTTAGAGGTAAGTTGATCAAGTGGGGCAGTGAGTGAGGGTGGTGGGGTCCCCAGGCTGGTGGTGGGGTCCCCAGGATGGTGGTGGGGTCCCCAGGATGGTGGTGGGGTCCCCAGGATGGTGGTGGGGTCCCCAGGATGGTGGTGGGGTCCCCAGGATGGTGGTGGGGTCCCCAGGATGGTGGTGGGGTCCCCAGGATGGTGGTGGGGTCCCCAGGATGGTGGTGGGGGTGGGGTGGATGGTGGTGGGGCGTGGGTCCCAGGATGGTGGTGGGGTCCCCAGGATGGTGGTGGGGTGTGGGGTCCCCAGGATGGTGGTTGGGCGTGGGGTCCCCAGGATGGTGGTGGTGGGGCGTAGGGTCCCCAGGATGGTGGCGGGGCGAGGGTGGGGACGGGGGCTGAGCGATGCGAGACAAAGATCCATAACTCACGGGGACAGGTGTCACCCTAAATTGTGTTAGCGGCCGGCAGCATCACCTAAGATGGCAGCAACGCAGGTTTTTCCTCCCTGGTCGCGTCTAAATTAAGACCTCAACGTTCTCTCTCAGTCAGAGTTAGGACGAGGCGGTGAAATACATTACTCATGCTGGAGGTGTGAACTCCCTCTTAAAAATCACAAGGGAATCACAATAACATGATTTTTCTTCGAGAAAATCTTTGCAGCAAAACGGGGGATCGACCCAAGGTGCGTGTCTGAGGGTAACCCTGGACGCTGGTCTGAGTTCCGTACAACTCTGAAGATTTTCCCTCCTGAACATGTGGTCGGATGGGTTGATAGACCACTATTACAATGCAAGGATTCTGTTACAGAAACTAGTATAAAACCAGTACTGAAACCTTTCTGGTTTCCAAATATTTCAACTACATGCCCTAATTATTGACTCTCTCATATATTCTACTCCACTTACCGTGTATATCTGATCACATCTGCCGTGATAAACATCCACACATGTCATGATGACCCGCCTGGCGTCCCCACAGGTGATCGAGCAGCTGCGGGAGGACCAGAGAGCCAACGTAGTGGTGTGTTTCTGTGAGGGCATGACCGTCAGGAACCTCCTGCTGGCCGCACAGAGGAACAACGTTACCTCCAGGTTTCTCTTCATCGGCAGGTGGGTCTCGCTATGTGCAGTGCCAACTGTATGCCTAGTGTAGGTGGTTGAGGCCTACTGTAGGTGGTTGAGGCCTACTGTAGGTGGTTGAGGACTACTGTAGCTGGGCCAGGCTTAGTGTGAATAGTCCAGACATGGTGAAGCTATCTTCAAGTTGTCACTATTTGCCTGGATTTAAATTTACATCGACATCTCTAACTTTCTTTCTCATTCACTAAACCTTTCACACTCACTTAACCCTCAACCTCCCCCTATCTCTCTCTCTCTCTCTCTCTCTCTCTCTCTCTCTCTCTCTCTCTCTCTCTCTCTCTCTCTCTCTCTCTCTCTCTCTCTCTCTCTCTCTCTCTCTCTTCCCCCCCCTTCTCTCTCCCTCCCCTCCCCTCCCCCTCCTCATGTAACCAGCCTTTTTCTGCCACAGACGTGGTCACACGTTTACAATGCTAACCAGAATATATATAATTTTTGTCCTGTCTTCCATGGACAGGGTTAGAGATCTGTTAAATATACAGTTCAGTGATTTATTGAACAATCAACCACAGGAGGTGATTTGTAGTCCTTTTAAAATGTTAATCTAACATACATACAGAAATACATACATCTACATTTGTCCTACTTAAATAGTGTTCGAGATATCTTCTGTACATAATGTCATTAATGTGCGTTTACAAAGGTGAAATGCAATTCTGACCCGCTTACACATATCCTGTATATACATACATTTAATATATATATATATATATATATATATATATATATATATATATATATATATATATATATATATATATATATATATATGTCGTACCTAGTAGCCAGAACGCACTTCTCAGCCTACTATGAAAGGCCCAATTTGCCTAATAAGCCAAGTTTTCATGAATTAATTGGTTTTCGACTACCTAACCTAACCTAACCTAACTTTTTCGGCTACCTAACCTAACCTAACCTATAAAGATAGGTTAGGTTAGGTTAGGTAGGGTTGGTTAGGTTCGGTCATATATCTACGTTAATTTTAACTCCAATAAAAAAGAATTGACCTCATACATTATGAAATGGGTAGCTTTATCATTTCATAAGAAAAAAATTAGAGAAAATTTATTAATTCAGGAAAACTTGGCTTATTAGGCAAATCGGGCCTTGCATAGTAGGCTGAGAAGTGCGTTCTGGCTACTAGGTACGACATATATATATATATATATATATATATATATATATATATATATATATATATATATATATATATATATATATATATATATATATATATATGACCGAAAAAGTAAGATTAATAATTCTAACACGAATTTTCTCAATCTTTCGTACATTTCTTTTCACTGCTGGTGGTAATTCAAAAATCAATTCTCCAAAATTCATTTTTATTTCTAGTCTGACGCGACACTTGAGCGCGTTTCGTAAAACTTATTACATTTTCAAAGACTTTAGTTTACACATACACAACTGAATAGAACTTACACATCTCCGATTTGTTTATATCTACATTTGCGTTTATATCTACATTTATATCATCAACACAAGACAGAACACGAAACAATGGGTATTGAATGGAAGTGATTGTAGGAAACCTATTGGTCCATATTTCTTGATGCTTCTATATTGGAGCGGGGTCTTGAGGTGGGTAGAATATAGTTGTGCATTAATTGGCTGTTGATTGCTGGTGTTGACTTCTTAATGTGTAGTGCCTCGCAAACGTCAAGCCGTCTGCTATCGCTGTATCTATCGATGATTTCTGTGGTGTTTACTAGGATTTCTCTGGCGATGGTTTGGTTGTGGGAAGATATTATATGTTCCTTAATGGAGCCCTGTTGCTTATGCATCGTTAATCGCCTGGAAAGAGATGTTGTTGTCTTGCCTATATACTGAGTTCTTTGAGGCTTACAGTCCCCAAGTGGGCATTTGAAGGCATAGACGACGTTGGCCTCTTTTAAAGCGTTCTGCTTTGTGTCTGGAGAGTTTCTCATGAGTAGGTTGGCCGTTTTTTTGGTTTTATAGTAAATCTTCAATTGTATCTTCTGATTTTTGTCTGCAGGGATAACGTTCCTATCAACAATATCTTTCAGGACCCTTTTCTCCGTTTAATGAGCTGTGGAAAAGAAGTTCCTGTAAAATAGTCTAGTATATATATATATATATATATATATATATATATATATATATATATATATATATATATATATATATATATATATATATATATATATATATATATATATATATATATGTACATACGGTCATTGAATATGACCGCATATTCTGTATTTACTATTTTCTGGTTTAGGGCTTCTATCCCTCTAACTATTATTCTTGCATCAGGGTTTAGTTGAAAGAGGAGTTCTCCAAAACTCATGTTCGTTTTTCAAGGTGAAGAAAAAAAGTGAATTACTATAGAATGTATTACACTTATTATACAATTGCACAACGCTTCGAACCTACATGGATCATTCTCAAGTGATAAGAAATTACAGATTTTTTGAAATTACATATATATTTGTTTTATTTAAACTTTGTTACAAAAAAAGGAGTTACATACATAGTACAAAGATGATTATCATAAGTTGTCGAGTTCCTCCAGCTCCTCAGATGGCGGCAGGAACCCTAAATGCAGTGTGCATTTCCCCTCTGTATCGCCACTCTGAGGTGCTGGATGCTGGTAGCTCTAGGGTCTCTTGTTGTTTTAATTGGCCTAGAACCCAGTTCCTTAAAAAACTCATGTCACTTTTACCCCAGACGCAGAATGTCTCAGAAGCAATGTGGATAAAATTGTAGTGGTGATCCAGTTCTCTATACTTACGGGATTTGGCTGATTCCCTGTGAGTGACAGCGCCACCCGGTTGTGCAACACTGAAGTCAATGTAGGTGTTATCCCATGGTTGTTACGCACGTGTAGTCTCATATCAACTGCTTGCCATTCTTCCAGGGGTTTGCTGTGATTCTGTCTGGGCGACTAACAGGTTCATCAGAGTTGCCGGGCATTAGGTAATCGGGTTCTCTCTCTGCTGGACAACCAGCTGTGGTAAGGCTCCTCTTAATAACATAATTTGCCTCACAGTGTCTTGCATGCCATCCTCCTGTGCTTTGGCAGAGCAGGCCATGCCGGCCGTACCTGTCGGTCACTGCCTTGCCACTAATTTACTTATATTCAGTGTGGATTGGGTCAGCAGAGCGAAGAGTGACGATAATTAGGAGAGCCTGCTGTGTGAGACGAGTACCGGTTGCTGACATTGTGGTTGTTACACTATTCTACACTTTCACAAAGTTGACACATGGTGTATTCTACACTTTCACAAAGTTGACACAGGGTGTATTCTACACTTTCACAAAGTTGACACAGGGTGTATTCTACACTTTCACAATGTTGACACATGGTGTATTCTACACTTTCACAATGTTGACACATGGTGTATTCTACACTTTCACAATGTTGACACATGGTGTATTCTACACTTTCACAAAGTTGACACATGGTGTATTCTACACTTTCTTAATGTTGACACATGGTGTATTTGCCATTTGAGAAAGCTGCCAAATACGTCAATGTAACCATTGGTTGATGCCCCCACAGTGACGGCTGGGCGGACCGTTCCGACGTGGTGGCGGGCCTGGAGGAGGCGGCTGTCGGGGGCCTCTCCATCAAGATCAACAGCTCCTACGTGGCAGAGTTCGACGACCACTACTTCCAGCTGCACCCTGAGACCAACGACCGCAACCCGTGGTTCAGGGAGTTCTGGCAGAATAGGTTCAACTGTTCGCTGCCTGGCCAGGAGGAGATCGTCTCTCTACCTCGCTGCTCTGGTTAGTGTAGGCTTTCTTCGGGAAGTTTCACAGGGTTTTGTTTCTGTAATGCTATGTATGTGGTCGTGTGGCGTTCTCATGCACCACACTACCATCGTCAGACTTTTAGCGACCATCATCAGGCTTACCGCAACCATAATTGGGCTTACAGTAACCATCTTCAGACTTATCAGCAACGATACTCAGATTTCCATCAATCGTAGCCAGACTTTCAGTAAACTACAAGGAGACGTTTAGAAACCATAGTAAGACTTTCAGGAACCTGAAACTTTCAGTCTGACTTCCAGCAACCGGAGTCAGACTTTCAGTAGTGTATATCAAATAATAATCAATTCCAGCAGACTCTCATTGTCCCTCACGATACACCACACCACACCAAACCACAATACAATACAATACAATACAATACAACACAACACAATACAATACACCACACCACAAAGTACTCAAGCAACACATCACTTTCAACATACATCATACAACCAGCTCAAGACTCCCCCCCCCACACTAATATCTGTTCCCGCTCTCTTCACCTCACCGCCGTATACACCACCACCACCACCTACCACACCACCACCACCACCTACCACACCACCACCTACATACCCCCGTCAGTAAGGACTGACCATGACCAGAGAGTAACGTGGAGAACGCTCCCCCACAGGTGAAGAGTCCCTCCGGAAGGGCTACAAGCAGGACACCAAGATGGCCTTCGTGATGAAGGCCATCTACACGATGGCGTGGGGCCTGCACAACATGCAGCGGGACCTGTGCCCCGGCACCCAGGGCCTCTGTGACGCCATGCTCCCCATCAACGGCTCCCTCTACAGGGTCTGTACCCATCACTCTTATGCAAATTTTTTCTTATAATACATATTTCAGCGTCACGATTTTTTCCTTCATAATAGTTGGCTCATTCGTGTATTATTAGTTATGTATATTTTGATTGTTTAGAGTTACGAATTTATATTACATTATATAGATTTATAACAATATCTGATGGTGAGGAGGAGGCGTGTTGCAGCTTTGTGTGTGTGTACTGGGGCCTCAGCTGCCGGGGGGGGGGGCTTGCAACATCTGCTCTAGTTGAGGGTCAGGTCATGGAGGTGGGGTCGGGTCATGGAGGTGGGGTCAGGTCATGGAGGTGGGGTCAGGTCATGGAGGTGGGGTCAGGTTATGGAGGTGGGGTCAGGTTATGGAGGTGGGGTCAGGTCATGGAGGTGGGGTCACGTCATGGAGGTGGGGTCAGGTCATGGAGGTGGGGTCAGGTTATGGAGGTGGGGTCAGGTCATGGAGGTGGGGTCAGGTCATGGAGGTGGGGTCAGGTTATGGAGGTGGGGTCAGGTCACGGAGGTGGGGTCAGGTCATGGAGGTGGGGTCAGGTCATGGAGGTGGGGTCGGGTCATGGAGGTGGGGAGCTTGAGAAACATCCTTGAGAAAGGATAAAGGTTACATCCGAAAATTTGTTTTTTAATACATATATACATCTTTTATGCTCTCCTCCTTTACTCAAGCACTACGGTACTGTAGTAAGTTTCTTCATTGTGTGGTTTAATATTGGGCTGTCTTGATCAACCCTTCCTCCTAATATTGGGTTGTCTTGATCAACCCTTCCTCCTAATATTGGGTTGTCTTGATCAACCCTTCCTCCTAATATTGGGTCGTCTTGATCAACCCTTCCTCCTAATATTGGGTCGTCTTGGTCAACCCTTCCTCCTAATATTGGGTTGTCTTGATCAACCCTTCCTCCTAATATTGGGTTGTCTTGATCAACTCTTCCTCCTAACATTGGGTTGTCTTGATCAACCCTTCCTCCTAGCATTGGGTTGTCTTGATCAACCCTTCTTCCTAATATTGGGTTGTCTTGATCAACCCTTCCTCCTAATATTAGGTTGTCTTACATACAGAAATCACAATTGCGTGATGCATCAAATGAACAAATCCACAAGGGCCGTGACGAGGATTCAAACCTGCGTCCGAGAGCATCCCAGACGCTACCTTAAACGACTGAGCTACGACATTGTCAAAAGAAGTTGAAACCGAAGTTCTACTGAACTTGCTGGATCCTGCAGCCTCTCCGAGGCACAAACCAGGGTTTTACACAACTCCCTCCATGCACTCGAGCTATGTCAACAGGCCAGTTCAGTAGAACTTCGGTTTCAACTCCTTTTGACCATGTCGTAGCTCAGTCGATTAAGGCTGCGTCTGGGATGCTCTCGGACATAGGTTCGAATTCTCGTTACGGCCCTTGTGGATTTGTTCATTTGATGCATCACGCAATTGTGATTTCTGTGTGTAATGAAGATATATATATATATGTATATATATACCTTCATTACACACACACACACATATATATATATATATATATATATATATATATATATATATATATATATATATATATATATATATATATATATGTCGTACCTAGTAGCCAGAACTCACTTCTCAGCCTACTATGCAAGGCCCGATTTGCCTAATAAGCCAAGTTTTTATGAATTAATGTTTTTTCGTCTACCTAACCTACCTAACCTAACCTAACCTAGCTTTTTTTGGCTACCTAACCTAACCTTACATATATATATAGGTTAGGTTAGGTTAGGTAGGGTTGGTTAGGTTCGGTCATATATCTACGTTAATTTTAACTCCAATAAAAAAAAATTGACCTCATACATAGTGAAAAGGGTAGCTTTATCATTTCATAAGAAAAAAATTATAGTAAATATATTAATTCAGGAAAACTTGGCTTATTAGGCAAATCGGGCCTTGAATAGTAGGCTGAGAAGTGAGTTCTGGCTACTAGGTACGACATATATATATATATATATATATATATATATATATATATATATATATATATATATATATATATATATATATATATTAATACCTAAAAGGAGTACCATCTCTGGTGCAAGTGTAGGGACCCATAGCCTCAGAGAAGAAAATAATGAGTACTCAGAAAAGACCTTGTGGATCCTCACTGAACACTTTGATATTTTCTTCTACCACCCCTATTCCTTTAGTATGTGTATCTATGTTATCTTTAGTATGTGTATGTGTTAGTATATATATCTAACTTTATTTTAAAATTTCATTACACAAAAAGGGTTACAACATTGGTTACATGCAGGGTACAAGACGACGTGTCACAAGTTGTATAGCTCCGCCAGCTCCTCAGATGGCGGGCAGGAACTATAGATGCAGTGAGCATTTCCTCTATGGATCGCGACACTAAGACACTGCAAGAGAAAACTGGTGGTTCTAGGGTCTCTAGTTCTTTCAATTAGCTTGGACCCCAGCTCCTTCAAAAAACTTGCAGCACTTTTGCCCCAGGCACCAAGTGTCTCTGAGGCAATGGGGACAAAATTGTAGTGGTGATCAAGGTCTTTGTATTTACGCGACTTAGCTGCTTCCCGGTGATTGGCTGCACCTCCTGCTTGTGCAGCACTGAAGTTAACAGGTGTTGGCTAAGGTTGAAACGCAAATGTAGTCCCACAACAACTGTCTACCATTCTTCCAGGGGTTCACCATGATCCCGTCTGGGCGACTGACAGGCTCATCAAAATTGCGGGGCATTAGGTAACGGGGCTCTCTTTCTGCTGGACTACGGCCCTGGTAAGGCTTCTCTTGATAATGTCGTTAACCTTGCCGTGTCTTGCATGTCATCCTCCTATCCTTTGGCAGAGAAGTCCATGCCGTCCGTCCCTGTCGGCCGTGAAAAGGTTATTGGACTACTCTGCAAACCAAATGGCATTCTTTTGAAATGAAAATGACCATTGGGAGTACTAAAGGCTGTCAATTGTTAACTTTCCTCGTCAAGGGGATTTGCCAGAATCCCTGCAACAAATCTAATGTTGGGAATACTTTGTTCTGACCTATACTTTGCAATAAATCATTTAGGACTGGAAGTGGGAAACGATCAGGTATAGTCACTCTGTTAAGCTTGCGATAATCGATTACAGGTCTCCAAGTACCATCTCGCTTTGGTACAAGAATCAATGGAGCGTTCCATGGTGAATTACTCGACTCAATTACGTCACTCTGTAACATATCCTCTATGAGTCTATCAGCTTCTGCTCTCTGAGAATGGGGAAGACGGTAAGCTGGTACATAAATAGGCATAGTTCCTTGTTCAAGGGGAATTTTATGTGTAATAAGAGGAATGAGACCTAACTTTACTCCTGGTAGAGCAACAACGGCTCTATTCCTGTTCAAAATTTCCAAAAGCTGAGCCACAGAGTCAGGAAGTCAGTAGGACTGAGGTGTAGTGCTTGCACCTCTGGCTGAGATCCCTGTTCTCCTGGTGTGAGAGTACAAACAGTATGATCCATGGAGACATCATCCACCACTCGCACCGATGATGAGTAATGGGCAAAATCTACAACGTGGGTGCCAGACTGGAGATAAATGTTGGCATTACTAGTGTTTGCAATATACAATGTAACGGTACCATCCTGCACTGTATGCCAGGAGGGTTCAACAAATGTACCGTTCACTTTACACGTATCACTTTCTGCAATAACATCCGATAACTCAGGCACTCCCTGAACCTTAACTCTTACTCTGGTGAGAGAATGAGAGTGCAGCACAGTGTCAGTAGCTATAGAACCACTGACTTCAGAGATGGAAGCTGCTAGGCAAGCAAGACAACGAGAATCTGTTAGGGTGTTCCCGTCCAGAAAGTCTCGATACTCACTCTCCTTAACAACTGCAAAACTATGATGCTTCAATCGAATGCCCATTTTCCCGGGTATGCTACTGCAACAAGGATCAGATAAACCTAAGCTAGTGAGTCAGGTGTCGACAAAATTAATGTAATCTGATTGAAGGTTGAACTCATGGCCCTGTCGATACATGCTACACAAGGGTATGACGTGGTCTTTGATACTAATGTTTCACCTATGGGGAAACAATGCGATATTTTCATCAATCATGGTGTACAAACCTAAAAGAATGTCACCAGGAAAATGGATATATATAGTCAACAACTAAACAGGTTATAAAAAGTGTGATGTCATCTAACTTGAGTGAAAGGTCAATTTCTCCCTGAATTTTTACTGTGTTTCCTGAAACACCACTTAGAAAAGATATGGTGACTTTCTTACTGGAGTAGGGTGATTACTTGCAAAATCTCTGTGAGCTGAGGGCTTGACAATATTAATTTTTGCACCCGAGTCAAGAAAAACTTTTAAAACTCTACCATGCACAATGGCTGGGACAAGGGGCCATCACTTGTGACTGGGCAAGTTACTACTTTTGATTTATGTTGTCTAGGAAGTCTGCGTCTCGTCTGTGTCAAATACACTGCGGTTCCATTAACATCTAAAACCGGTCGAGAGTCAGTGTCCTCCTCTGTCAAGTGTCCAAATCTATTTTGGGTAGCTACTGAGTACACAGGGAGGGCACTAGGACTGGCTAACTTGAATTGGTTAGCGGATGGCTTTGGGAGTTTCCCGACGACATGGAATGAACATGAACAAATCCACAAGGGCCATGACGAGGATTCGAACCTGCGTCCGGGAGCATCCCAGACACTGCCTTAATCGACTGAGCTACGACAGGGTTAAAAGGGTTGAAACCGAAGTTCTACTGAACTTATTGGCTCCCGTAGCCTCTCCGAGGCACAGACCAGGATTTTACACAACCCCCCCCCTGCACCCGAGCTATGTCAATAGGCCGTTCTCCCTCTTCGCCCTTACATCATCACACACAGAGATCACACTAACGTGATGCATCAAATAAACAAATCCACAAGGAATGGTGTGATGGAATGAACATTTTGAGCTCCAGCAGTCTGTGATCGATTATTATAATTGGATGTTGTATTATGGCTGGGCTGGGAGTTGTAATTATGCGAGTTCTTATAATGTCTAGGATGCTGTGCGCCTCGCTAAGACTGACCATGGGAATTACAAGGTGGGGATGTCCTTTGCCTAGCTCTACAATCTGCTGTATGGTGACCGACTTGTTTATGATATCTGCAATATGGGAGCCTAGAATTATTGGGTTGACGAGGAGACCGAGAGAATTGTCTAGGGGTGATTATCTAGTAGCGGACCAACAGTCCCTTGCAAAGTGGTTAGTCTTACCACAATGCCAACATGAGGGAGTGGATGGTTGTGGGCTATGGTGTTTCGGCAACTTATGAGGAGGAGAACTGGGCTGCGGGTTACGAGCATGGGTGCAGTTCTGTGACCAAGCGTTTTGAGAGTTTGTGGGAGGATGCTGAGGGCTTGTTACTACATTCACAGTGTCAGAGGATGGCAACAGTTGAGCACTTCGGGGAGCTAGTTTATCAGCGGTATTACTGATAGCCTCAAACACTTCACCAATTTCATCTTTAACTCCAAAGTTTTGTTGCTTGATGGTCGGTTTAGTATGCTCTGGGGCAAAATTAATTAAAGTCCCAAATGCAATCATTTTGGCCATGGCATGGGGGGTCAATATCTTGTCCTTATCAACCCATGAGGAACTACGCATGGCAGTCTCCAAGGCATACAGATACTGATCTAGTCGGCTAGTACAATCCATTAAAGGATTCACAAGGTTGCATGGTGGCATTGGCAGTTTTCTTGACTAACCTATACGGGTCGAGGTCTCCTTTGTTAACAAAGCGCTGGCCAAAGAAACCCTTAAATTCTGACCATGACTGGAGGCTAACAATGGCTTTCTCATCTACCACAAAACGTGCATCGCCTTTGGTTGTGTCAATGGCGGACCGAGCAATTGCCAAATATTCGGCATCAGTAGGCTCAGAAAAACAGGCCTTGCTCTGACCTCTGACCTCGAGCTGACCTCTGGACAATAGCACAAGCAATTGCTCCATTGGAGACAGCAGAAGTTGCAAAAGAGGTAGGCATTGTCACTTCCGTTGAAGGAATATTTGAACACAGATTATAGTTAAGTGCACCGGGCATCAGAAATACAATACACAAAAATAAATACTCAAAAAATATCAAACTTGGCTAATGCAAGGAAATGGCAGAAATAAAATGATTAAATTGGGCTAGGCAACAAAATAATTCAAAACAAGCAAAATTATGAATTAAATTAGCAATCTGGTATGAAAATGACTGGAATTAGAGGTATATAAATAAATTAAACCAGGCTAAGCACTGCAAATTAAATGATAAAACTGTTAAGTGTAATTGCAATTTTGATGAAAAAATAATACAACACAACAAGTGGCAATACAGGAAATATGGATGTAGCACAGAAACTGGACACAGATATGTATATAACTTGCTATGGTAAGATTATAATGTGAAATGTTGAAGGAATAAATTTCAATTTTAGGTCTGGAGGAATTAAAAAAATTATATTGTGCAAATCCTTAACTGCTACTAAAACAATGATTCCTTACTTCTCTGAACTTTGAATTTACCAATAACACTACTAACACAATTAATATTCAATTAAATTACTGTGAGAAGCAGGAATATCGAAATCACTCAGGGAAACTGTGGGAGTGGAGTACTGAGCCAGCTCCAATATTTAACTCATCTATCAATTTAACAAGTCACTGAATGGTTAATACATAGGATGTTTTGGATATTATTATGTAAATCACTGTTAGAACATGACACAGGAAGGCTCATCTATCAATTACTTATCTCGGGGGTGGAATTCATGAGAATCACTAGCAGCCAAAATGGGAGAAACATCGTGAAGGTGCGTGAAGAGCACATGCAGGGTTTGTTTTGGTTTTGGTGCGGCAGGCAGCGCTCCTAGCGGCCGTGCCCTAAGCTCTTCTGGGACCCTGCACTGGAATTGATCTTGGAAGCGCGACAATACATGCTGAGACGTCGATTGCGATGGAGGAAGCACGATTTGCTAGGCAGGAGTTCACAGCAAAATGATGTAGCAGGGGGCTGTGGCGATGGTGAGAGGAAGCTGGGTGGCGAGGTGTGTGTAAGCTGGTGGCGACACTTAGTCAGACAATTGCAGTCTGCCAGTTCCTTTTCAATACCAGTAACAGTACAACACACACGATGATCAGTTGATACTTGCGACGATGGCTGACGGCGATTGCAGTAGCTAGAACACTCACAAGGCTTGATGCTGTCGGCTTGGGTGACGATTGTGGTGGTGGCACAGGTTCCAAGATGGCGCGGAAAATTCAAAAACACTGACAGCGAATTACTCTCCCCTCACTGATGAAAATTCGTTCTTACTTGTAAATATTGCGCCTTAATTCTGATAAAGTCGACCTAGAGTAGTAGCTGATGGTAGGACCCCCGGACTGACACAATAATTGATGAATATTGATGCGTGGGTGGCGGTGGATGGTGGCTGGAAACACGTGGCCATGTGGGTACTTGAATTTTCGATTCCCAGAAAATTAATTCTGGATCCCACAGCTGCTACCAGTATTAGTTACCTTCTTCATGTACGTGGTTCTTGCTGGATAGTAGATAATACACGGTTGATGACTTCAGCAGTTTATTGAGGAAGGTAACAAGTTGGGTATCTGGCCTGCCGAGGTCCTACCTAACTCTGAGGTCTGTGAGATACTGACTCCTCACCAGAACGGTTAGTACCAGCTCTCCTGTGGAGAATGACGTCAGAGGCTTACTCGACTGTGATTGGCTATCCCCAACAGTCGTACAATTTGAATAACAAACATATCAAAAGCTTCCTTACATCCTCACTGGTAATCTCAAACTCTTCTAGTGTGTGTGTGTGTGTGCGCGTGCATGTGTGCGTGTCTAATTACTGTATCTAAGTGTAGTTACAGGATGAGAGCTACGCTCGTGGTGTCCCGTCCTCCCGATACTCTGTCGTATAACGTTTTAAAGCTACTAACGGTTTTGGCCTCCACCACCTTCTCACTCAACTTGTTCTATCCGTCTTCTACGCTGTAAAAGAAAACGTTCTAATATATGTGTGTGCGGGTGTGTATGTTGACTCATCACCTACTTTGCTCAATATACTAACACAACATTACCCTACATGATGGCAATGATATAACAGCTTACGCATCAACATTTGCTTTAAGCTTTTTCCAGTTGATATCAGCGCTGTTTTGCCACTTTACCTGCCACTTGGTGATGTGTTTATTTTTATTAATTTATAGCTTGAATCATAAAAGCTTTGTAAATAATTACTAATACAACAACCTAAGGTGTAATTAATTATTTTGAGTTAATATTTATGTTAAATAGTAATTTTTAACAGAAGTCTTATTAATTGAATTGCAATTGTTTGTTTTGTTTCCTTCTCCCACCGTAGGAGGTGGGAGAAGGGCTTCCTCATTGACTTGTCATAAGCAAATCGTGTCATAGATGCTCCTCTTCCTTCCAGGAATATCTAATGAATGTCACTTTCACCTATATGAACGAGTCAGTGACGTTTGACTTGCGGGGCGACCCACCAGGAAGGTAGAGTCTGCAACCACACCACCACTTACACTGATTCTCCAGCTACACTAACACTTACACTGACTCCTCCAGCTACACTAACACTTACACTGACTCTCCAGCCACACTAACACTTACACTGACTCTCCAGCTACACTAACACTTACACTGACTCCTCCAGCCACACTAACACTTACACTGACTCTCCAGCCACACTAACACTGACTCCTCTAGCCACACTAACACTTACACTGATTCTCCAGCCACACTAACACTTACACTGACTCTCCAGCTACACTAACACTTACACTGACTCTCCAGCCACACTAACACTTACACTGTCCCTCCTCCAGCCACACTAACACTTACACTGTCTCCTCCAGCCACACTAACACTTACACTGTCCCTCCTCCAGCCACACTAACACTTACACTGTCCCTCCTCCAGCCACACTAACACTTACACTGGCTCCTCCAGCCACACTAACACTTACACTGGCTCCTCCAGCCACACTAACACTTACACTGACTCTCCAGCCACACTAACACTTACACTGACTCTCCAGCCACACTAACACTTACACTGACTCTCCAGCCACACTAACACTTACACTGACTCTCCAGCTACACTAACACTTACACTGACTCTCCAGCTACACTAACACTTACACTGACTCTCCAGCCACACTAACACTTACACTGTCTCCTCCAGCTACACTAACACTTACACTGTCTCCTCCAGCTACACTAACACTTACACTGTCTCCTCCAGCCACACTAACACTTACACTGTCTCCTCCAGCTACACTAACACTTACACTGACTCTCCAGCCACACTAACACTTACACTGACTCTCCAGCCACACTAACACTTACACTGTCTCCTCCAGCCACACTAACACTTACACTGTCTCCTCCAGCCACACTAACACTTACACTGTCTCCTCCAGCCACACTAATACTTACACTGTCTCCTCCAGCTACACTTACACTGTCTCCTCCAGCCACACTGACACTTACACTGTCTCCTCCAGCCGCACTGACACTTACACTGTCTCCTCCAGCCACATTAACACTTACACTGTCTCCTCCTCCAGCCACACTAACACTTACACTGTCTCCTCCAGCCTCACTTACACTGTCTCCTCCTCCAGCCACACTAACACTTACACTGTCTCCTCCAGCCACACTTACACTGTCTCCTCCAGCCACACTTACACTGTCTCCTCCAGCCACACTGACACTTACACTGTCTCCTCCAGCCACACTAACACTGTCTCCTCCAGCCACACTAACACTGTCTCCTCCAGCCACACTAACACTTACACTGTCTCCTCCAGCTACACTAACACTTACACTGTCTCCTCCAGCTACACTAACACTTACACTGTCTCCTCCAGCTACACTAACACTTACACTGTCTCCTCCAGCCACACTGACACTTACACTGGCTCCTCCAGCCACACTAACACTTACACTGGCTCCTCCAGCCACACTAACACTTACACTGTCTCCTCCAGCCACACTAACACTTACACTGGCTCCTCCAGCCACACTGACACTTACACTGGCTCCTCCAGCCACACTAACACTTACACTGGCTCCTCCAGCCACACTAACACTGGCTCCTCCAGCCACACTAACACTTACACTGGCTCCTCCAGCCACACTAACACTTACACTGGCTCCTCCAGCCACACTAACACTTACACTGGCTCCTCCAGCCACACTAGCCCAAGAGGTATCTACTCCATAAGAGAGAGACAACTGTAGAATGCCGAAGAAGAAAAAGCTTTTGTAGGGGCTGTAAGTCCAACACTAACGCCAGTGACACACATTAAGAGGGTGACATCGACAGCACAGGAGACGCTAGCGGTAATCATTAGAAAGTCATTAAAAACTTAAATTATTATTATGTAGACAATGTACACTGCGTTTGTTAGATTAATACTGGAATGTGTAATGCCGGCTGGGATTTCGCACCTTATTAACTGCAAAATAAAAATTTGAATTGTACAAAAGTTCGCAATAAGATTATTACTAAAACTAGGAAATTTCAAACTACGACCCTAGCTTAAAGGGAAGAAATCTCACAAGCCTAGAGAAGGGAAAACAGGGGGATATGATCACGACATACAAGATACTGAGGAGGAATAAACAAAATGGGCAAGAAAAGCCTCTATAAATTAAGATAAAGTAGGACAATAGGATATAGGTGGAAGCTGGCAAGGCAGATGAGTGGCAGGAATGTAGGGAGCTACGCGCCACCTGTACGGGTAGTCAACAAATGCTGTGGGACTTACCACTCAACTTAATTATCTGAGTTAAATCTTGAAGCAGTATATAAACTATACATATTTTTGGAAAAAACTTATGAATCAAAATATAGTAATTTAAACAACTGCAGAATACTCAGTTATCAAACACAGCACAGTACAATCATTATTCAAGACTCTACTGTAACAAAAGGAATGTATAAAGGAACATAGCTGATTTGCTAGCGTAGAGTCAGTCCCTCATGCAGTTTGATGTTGGGGAAAAAGTCACTTACAGAACCAAGTCGCTGTTCTTGGATATCTGCCGAAAAGTTCCACATTTGGTTTATAACAAATTATTTTAGTGATTACTTCGTAAACACGCGTACGTCGCGGTGTACGCCTTCAATCCACAAAACAGTATTATATGCAGCCTTGCCTAGCCTAATGGTTAAAATCTCTATATTAATGAATATTAATTTGAGGAAATATTTATAAACTTATAATTCCAGTTAATTTCACAACAAAGGATCAGTGTTACAATTGATTACTTACTTGTTTGGGGTAAAAACCCCATGGTTTAACCTGGACCTTGGAGAAACAGTTAAATGACAGGTACATAAATTGATATTAATTATAACAATACCAACAGTCACAACCATGCTCGGAGCAGGTGCCCGGGTGCTTAGGTCAACGTCTTTAGCCGGCCATGTGTCGTTGATGGATAAATGAGCACATTATTTTGTGTTTATTGCGCTGGTTCACGTGACGCCAGGCTCAGCTAGTACAGTTTTCTGTACTGGTAATATTTACAGCGTTATGGCGCTTGTTATTTACTTCATATTGTCTCTGGGACTTCACCAAGAATTCTGTAAAGAACTGAATACATACAGGTTCCTGAAAGTGGGAAGACTCGCTAAGAAAACAAAGGAGCGCAGTCGCAAGCGTGTTGTGGCGTCTGGGTGATGCATGGCGTCTCCCATCAGCCCTTGCGAGCAGGAGGCGGGAAACTGTATTTATTTAATTTAATCAGCGATTATTCACCGATATGCTATATTTTTGTATAAGTGCCATAGCATTAAATAATATAATTTTGCAATTTATAATTAAGGCTATAATATTAGATTCTCAGCGTTAATACCTCGCAATTGAGACTCGTTAGGGGAACGTTGTCAGCCGCTCACAAAGATGAGTCCACTCAGTGAGACGTCATACAAAAATTATTTAGATGAGGCTGTGGACTATTTTCCATGAATGAAATGCACTGAAAGGCGTTGTGGAAGCCACCTCCGTCCACAACTTTAAGGCCAGGTTTCACAAAGAATTTGCACGTTAGAATAGTTAAATTATAAGGCATCAGGTGCAAAGCTAGGAGGTGGGGCATAAATAGTTAGACCTCACCCGCCAGTCACTAATAGGTAATTATTGATAGGTAAGTACATCACCACCAACCTCACCAACACCACCACTAACCACACCACCAACCACACCACCATTTTTGTTATATTTTCATGTATATTTATTTTCTAATATCATTGTTTCACTTTATAAAGCTTGTTTTAATGCGTTCTGTTTTGTGTCGAGTCATGCGGCTCAGTACACTGCACTTTTCTCAGTTTAATGAACGGGAAAGTTTTTATTACGCATGTATTGTACTGAATCATGGCCATAGTTATCATTTGTTGCCTTTCACTTGGTTTAAATTTGCCAGCTACTACATATATCTTTGAAACTTTGTCACATTTATATATATATATATATATATATATATATATATATATATATATATATATATATATATATATATATATATATATATATATATATATATATATATATAAATGAGTGACATCCTTAACCGTGCACGGCAGGTATGACATCATGAACTACCAGAGGCTGGAAAATGGGAGCTTCGATTACATCCCCATTGGGACGTGGGACAACGGAACTCTGGTCGTCCACGAGGAGCTGGTCATCTTCAACAGCACCGACGGCCTCCCGCCCACCTCCGTCTGCTCGGAGCCCTGCAGCTACAATGAGTTTAAGGTACGTCTTCATCTTCCTCCTATCCTATGGTCTGATGTGGGAAAGGTGGAAGATGGAAACCTCACTACCACCACCAGAGTATGAGTAGGTGACATGTAAATATTGGATTGTGGATACCAGCTATGACTGCCTTCCAAGCCTTCAGGTATATACAGTAGAACATCTGTTTGTGGTTAAAGTATAGCTCAGGCATGGTTAAGTGGGTAGTATGTCTGTCTGTCTGTCTGTCTGTCTGTCTGTCTGTCTGTCTGCATCAGTATCGTCAGTTCTATCCTACTCTTTGGCCTCAACGTTTCCAAATTTTACTTACAAACTGTTGTGATTCAGTTTAACTCATTCACCTGAAGCAGCAACATACTGAGAACTGCAACAAAATAGTCGTGAGAAAAGTGAATTTCAGACTAGTTCATTATCACCAGATAAGTAAGTAATTATCAAAAGAGGGCACCAAGTCAGGGAGGCTATGTAGCACCACCAAAAGTGTGTGATATTCAAAAAGCGCTAAATATTACTAAGGATGCCAATATGAAAACAAAAGGCATATAGTGAACAACATCAAAGACATCTGATTCACTAGGGATACTAACGAGAGACAAGTAACTGCGATGGACCGTCGGGAAGCAAGACACACACACGTCCTGGAAGTCAGGACATTCAACAAGGATATGCCCGAACGTAAGAGGGACAATGCAATTCGGACAATAAGGAGCAGGGGGGCGCTCCATTAAGTGTCCGTGAATTAAGCGTGTATGACCAATATGTAACTTCGCCAGAGCTAGGGGGAAGGCCATGGGGACTAACCTCTCTTAAGAGCATGCAGTTTGTTACCAGGAACAGAAGACCAACGACCCTGCCAACGGGCACGGATTGAGTAATGAATAACTGGGTAACAGTCGGAATAAGGAATACCTTTACAGGAGATGGGACAGGCGCGGATAGCTTCCTTAGCGGGAGCATCCGCACGCTCATTTAAAAACACACCAATATGGCTGGGAGTCCAGTAAAACTCGACTGTCTTAAATCTGCTGGAGATAAGAAACAGCTAATATTGAATTTCAACGACCACAGGATGGACAGGCTTGCAGCGGACAGCCCGAGCATAGTCTGGGTTCCACCAGGGACGCAGACTACCACGCCTCTGGAGATAAGCCAGAGGGCAGCAGCAAAAAACAGTGTCATGAAAGAGGAGGAGGGCTCGGGAGAGAGGCAGATCAGAGAAATAAGAAAGAGTAGCACACAAAGTGAAGAGGTTCCAGTCAGCCCTGGCAAACTGCCACCTAGGGAAGGAGAGGGGAGGGCGAAAAGAGATGACAAGGATGGGGAAATGGTCACTGTTATGTAGGTCATCAAGAACTCTCCAGGTGAAGTCCAACTAAAGAGAAGACGAGCAGAGAGAAAGATCAAGACAGGACAGGGTGCGAGTGTCGGAGTCAACATGAGTCAGCTCACCAGAATTCAAAAGAGAAAGAGAAGAAGAGAGGACAAAATGTTCAAAAAGGCAGCACCCGGATGTTTGTCAGAACATCACCCAAGATGGTTTGCCGACAGTTAAAATCACCCAAAAGGAGCACAGGCTCTGCTAAGGAGTCCAACAGGTGTTTAAGATCAGAAAGAGAAAGTGGAACATTCGGGGGGAGATAAATGGAACAGACTGTATATCATTTACTCACAAAGATACGAGCCACAGAACACTGAATGGGGAGTTGAAAACGTAGGGGGATGAAGGGAATATCAAGACAGATCAAGAGAGCAGTAGAGGCAAGGATTCCCAGTAAAAGCTGGAGGTGAAGAGAGAAAGGAATAACCACAGAAGCGACCAAGATGAACGCCAAGCATCGGCTCCTGGAGACAAACACAAAGTGGGGAAAGCTGAGCGATCAGAAGTTAGAGTTCATGAAAGTTAGCATAAAAACCACGAATATTCCATTAAAGAACAGACAGACAAAAAATAAAGAACAGAAACAGAAAATTAGAGAGAAACAGAGGCAAAGCAGAACACATTAGACTAAGGCAGAACAAGACCAGGATCAGTGAAATCAAGGTGACAGGGCAGAGGTAAAGCTAGCAAAGATAACTGATACAAGAGAGCGGGAGGACGGACCAGAGACGAACGGACAGAGTCCGGAGCGGGAGGAGACAACGGAGAGAGGCCGTCAAGGGAATCGAGGGTAGAAAGGACAGAAACAAGTGAGGGCACTGGTTCAAGGGCAGCATACAAGAGAGGATCAATGACCAAGGAAACCTCCACAGGAAGGACAGGAGACCCCACCATTGAAAATGGAGGGGAAGCAGGGAGTGTCAGAGTCGGAAGGTGAGGAAAACAACAAAGCCTTCTTACCCGCTGGGTAGGAAGAAGGAGAGGAGCCAGGCTTACGCTTCTGACGTAGAGAAACAGGCGTATCATCAGCAATATACTGGGTGACTGCCTCAACAGTTTCACCAAGAGAAGGAGAACGGGAACGGGAAACATGACGAATGCTGGATGGAGGATGGACAATGACCTGAACAGACAGGTGGCGAGGAGGACCAAGAGACAGAGGGAATGCTGAGAAGAAGGAGAGAGGCGAGAAGGGAAGGAGAGCACAGGAGACAGGGAAGACCGGGAAGGAAGTAAGGAAACACCTGACGGAGAACTGGGAGGACCCTCTAGGCCAGAATACAAAGGAGCAGATGGAGCAGACAAGGTGGTGGTGGTGTCGGGGTTCAAGGCCCCGAAGTGGTTGAGAAACGTAGAAAGTGGGAGAAAGCGAGAAGAATGAGCACGCAACACACAAGCATAAGACATGCCAGAGAAAGAGGGAAGATGGCGAACTTGGGGTCTAACCTCAAGAAAAGACAAATGATCCCGATGCTTCAAACTTCGTCAAATTTGTAATACATACATGCACGGGAGAAGGCAGGGTGGGCATCACCGCAATTGATGCAGAGAGTTTGGGAAGAAGGGCACTCTATCTTAGAATGTCCCGAGGTTCCACACTAGGGGGCAGAGACACACCTCACATGTGCACCTGAAGGGACCATGCCCAAATCTCCAGCACCTGCTACAGAGGCGAGGAGAGGGGATGCCAGATGCATTCTTGCTGGTGCCAGATGCTCCTAAACGGAGTATCTGGCACCAGCAAGAATGCCTGAAGAGGGAAGGGACCTACCATCAAACGTGACCTTCAGAACGCGAAGAGGCTGAAGGCGACGACCACGAGGAGGCCGAGTGAAGGTATGCACCTGGAGGATAGAATGGCTTTGGGCCTTAAAGATATACTTAATATCCATGTGGCAGTCCTTAAGTTCCCTGTCACCAGTCACGACATTGTGCAGAGAAGAATTATGCCAATGCAGGCATTCAACTGGGCATTTTTAGAGATCCGAATAGGGGTCTCCCCAATGCAGGACAATGAAGCCAAGTGCACAGTCACTTCCTGAGAAGGGGCTGCAACAACATGGATACGGGTGGGGTTAAAGGTGACCAACGTATCCATCGAATCAACAAGGTGCTTATGAAAAAATAAATCGTCGAGACGAATAGGGTCAACATGACTAAGATCAAAATACTTAGTCAATGTAGCAGGATCAAAACAAAGCATGGAAAGAAGGAGATTGGGAAGGAATCAAGTGTGAGTGAGTGTGGAGGTGACGACGCCGAGCACCCCCAGTAAGAGAGGGGGGGTAAAAGGCACAGTGGTGACAACTAGAGACGGAGCCACGCCAAGTGATGAGGTGGTCACCACTGGGGGCTTGAGGTTCAACCCCCGCCACAGAGGAGGAAGGGGAGCAGAGAGAGGCAGTCGGGAGAGTCGGAGAAGGAACATGGTCAGAGCCCAATGTAGCAGGGGCTATAGAGCCCGATCTTCCAAAACAGTCTAACTCGGGGGCTTGGTCGCCCACCCTACGATCTGGGACGTGAAAAGAGGGTCAGTCATCGGCATAATAACGTGCAGGTAACAATTTAATTCACGAATAAGCCCCCATACTCATCATGGAGCCACAGTTAGAGGATAGGACACCCGACAAGACCACCGGTGGTCTTGACACGAAGAGTCAAGAATTTCAACCTGGGATCATACACTCCTCAGGGGTGCATCGTGAGTGTACGCCCCCCCAATTGCCACTTTAAGAACCGTCAGTCCATTGAGATCGGGTTCAGCAATGAAGGCGAGGATTGACACTAAAAGCGTCACCCTCGCTTGCAACGTCGGGTACCACAGTTTTACGGGTGTGAGAGCTTGCCTCCCCAAGCACCCGGGCATCAAAAAAGAAGATGTCCAGAAGAATAATCAAGAATGGCATAAAGTCGGCGGTAAATGACAATTAGAAAGGAGAAGAGAGTGGAGAAAATTAAGGAAACATAAGGAAGAGGAAAAGACTTCCAGCACAATTTGTGAAGATGGTAGCAGGAGTATAAGGCTACAAAAGGACAGAGGGCTGTTCCATGGAGCATCACACTTCTTCAGCCGCCCACCAAGCATCTTCACGACGACAACGGGCCAGAAAGCGAGGGGGTCATTTATCGTTTATCATCAAACTACTGTATTGTGCATGAAGAGTCAAATATCTATGGGTCATCCAGTATGGTCAGGAGACCTCTAGATGTTGCTGCTGCTAGGCTTAGACTCGGCTACAAGTACCTCTGGGAGTCTTCACCACCTGCTAAAGTAGATGTGACCAAATGTAAACTCTGTTCACATACCTTTCATTACTATGTAATCGAGTGTGAAAAAATCATAATTTAGAGATATTTGTTACAAATGTTCAATAAATGTGTATTTCATTCTAAATTATGTACTTCCAGACATCGTAACCAAAGACATCTTAACAAATCCAAAGTTTGTTTATTTTAGGTAGTGGATGCATGTGACAGCTTTCTACTGCCGCCCACTGGATGGGCACGGGATGCTTATTAGTAAATTGTATTATATGTAACTGGGTCACCACAGATGTGCATTGCTCAGTTTAGAAACTTTTGTTATCCAGTTCTTGTGCTATAAAAACCATTAATATTATACATTTAAGACTAATATTATACATTAAACTGTGTAACTAATTTATCAAGACTAAATTTCTTAACCAAATGAGTCTTTGGTTCATGTGTTGAGCCCATCATGTTCCTCTATAACGTTTCCCATTATGTTCTCTATAACGTGGGTAGTTATGGAGCTCATAGCAAATGAACAAAATCAAAATCATTTCAATATAAATCATCTCAATTACTCATACACATTAGTTATATTTTCTTAGGTCCATTAATTTATGACAAATACGGTGATCATGGAATAAATGGCTGTAGGAGGAGGAGGAGTATGTGATGTTGTGTCCCTAAATTATCTGCAGGAGGACAGCTAAGACTAATGCCATAGTATCCAGAAGAACAACCATAAACCCTTGCTGTTATAACACCACCACCGAGACAGATCATTCTTGTGGTAACTGTGGATATTCCACCATCAGCAGAGCTTCGTGGGGACAGGCGACGACACGCAAAGATGCTGTTGGATCTGCACGGCCTGCGACCCGGAGGAGTACCTCAAGAACGAGACCGCCTGCGAGAAATGCCAACCCGGGTACTGGCCAAACCTTAACAAGACAGGTTCGTTCCAGTGGCGTCTTGTCACATGTTTTGGTCAAACCTCAAGACAGGTGCGTTCTAGCGGGGATTTTCACTTATTTTTTTGTCAAAACTCAAAGAGACAGGTGCGTTTAGTGGCGTTTGTCACGTGTTGGAGACTCTTGGGAGAAATAATTAACCATCAAACACATGAAGTGAAATTAAAGTGATGACATTTCTCTCCGTCCTGGATCTTTATCAAATACTGATGTCACTTTTATTCCATTCCATGTGTTTGGATTGATTTATTTGTTCAAGCGACGGTATTTTGATTTATTCTCTGCAATTAACCATCTACTGTACTAATGTTTAGTGAACAAATCCACCCGCTTGGATGGCTGGCTAACAATACCTTGCATCTGGAAAGATGAGTTTCTTGCATGTAAGCGACCTAAACAAAGAGTCATTTTTCCCGCCTGTTTTGACCAAGATATGCATCAAAATTATTTGATGATAACAAAATTAATAATAACAAAAATAATAACAAAATAATTATTATTCGATTTTTTTTTTTTTTTTTTTGAGATATATACAAGAGTTGTTACATTCTTGTACAGCCACTAGTACGCGTAGCGTTTCGGGCAGGTCCCTGGAATACGATCCCCTGCCGCGAAGAATCGTTTTTTCATCCAAGTACACATTTTACTGTTGAGTTAAACAGAGGCTACAGTTAAGGAATTGCGCCCAGTAAATCCTCCCCGGCCAGGATACGAACCCATGACATAGCGCTCGCGGAACGCCAGGCGAGTGTCTTACCACTACACCACGGAGACTGTGTAACTCAAGGTATAATTTCCCGAGTGTTTGCGAATACATTTTACTTCACCAGGCTGGTTTTCCAAGTGTCTTTATATAGTATACATTGTTTATTATGAGAATGTTTATGTGTTATTCGTAATTCTGAGATTTTTCATGTACTGTGCATCGTTCATGAGAAGGGTTATTCATTATTAAGTTCACGATTCTGAGACTTAAAAAGAAGTTCCTCACTTAGATGGTTTAGTGTTGGGCTTAAGGACTATCAACCACTGGAGGGATATCAAGACCACCTCAACAGCTTACTGACCAACCAGTAACTGCAGTATCTTAGTCCTGAGCATAGTCCAGGACAAAAGTGAACTCTCAGTGTATATTCACTGGGAAGCAGAATTCACCTGTCACAGGTCCACTGTACACTGTGTAATGGTTCTTAGCCCCCAATTAGGTATTCCGACAGAATCGCCAATTTCCATTCCGGCGTTCTCTGCCTTAAAAGGAGTTGATGTCCCTCTAGAGCGCTCGATGGTGTCCTCCCTGGAATGCCGCAGCACCCTCCGATCTGGAACTTCTCATTGATGGTGCCCTTACTCCCCTTCCTAGGTGCCACTGTTCACCTCTGGGGAACACCTCAGTCGAACTATGGAGCAGAGTTCACTCCGAACCCAGCCTTGCCCTCGTACTGACACGAGAGACATCTCCCGTCACGCAGGGTGCAGTCGCACCTCCACGGATCTCCAGTATCATCTATTGATACTGGTGATGGCTCAAAAGGGCCACCACTTACGGGCTATTCATGCCCGTGCCACCTTTTGGGTGGCTTAATCTTCATCAATCATCAATCAATCACCCGTACTGAGTGAGGTAATTACCACTCCCCAGTTTCCTTGCTGGGAGGTCAGTGGACACGGAAACTCAAGGTTACCCAGGTCGAGTTGCTCGTCCATAAGGTTAATCTCAAGGTCACCAACTTGATTCATCTTCCTCCACGGTCATGTAATACTTCCAACACAGTGTGATGTCACCTCTCCCAGTCTATTACTTCTTCAACAGTAGCGTGGTGCACAGTAAACCCCACGACAACACACAAAAATAAATGAAGAGGAGGAAGATATAAACAAATCATAAATATGATTTGTTTACTCACAATAGGCTACACTCTTCTGGTCTGTAAAAGTCTCAATCAGTTCGATGGCAGCACTTGAAATTATTCACAATATCTGGCAACACTTAACTGTTTCCAAATCGAAAGTTATGAGGCAATCTCTTAACCAAAACTTATATCATGTGAATGTAAATAAATATTATAAAGGCTCTTCAGTATGTGTAGCCTATAAATCACTACTTTTTCGGTATATGTAAACATAATCACCGACACCAAAATAATTAATATTTTATTGCTTTATGTCTGATGTCACTCACGTAATTTCCGATTATCACCTTATTTGTATAAAACACCTTTCCTAACACAAAGTGGGACAATGGGAGGGCAATTTAACTACCTTATAGATCGTTGACCCAGCAGGTCGTAGGCGCTGCTCTTCACCAACCCACGACAGTGAGACGTCTTCTTGTAGGTAAATGAATCTTCACTTGGCACCGACCGTTGCACATAGTCCTCCCTTGGCGCCGCTCACTCCACGTAGTGTTCCTCACTAGATGTTAGGTGGAAACTGATGTCGCCTGACCTATCCAGGCTAATACACTCCACGTACTGGTCCACCGCCTCACACGTAGCTTCGTCGTGTGAATTCTTCTCTCGTGGAAACGGTTGTTGAACTGCACCGAACCAGGACCGCTACCAAATCTTCTTAACACAGCTCCACCATCGTGCACGGCCCGAGGGTTGTCCCACAACCCCCCGGCGCCACCTTCTGAAGTTACCCAGGAGTGCGGTCGTCACCGAGCCTTGGGTACTATCTTCACACCATCCACCTCAATCTCATACTTCCTCTTCGATAGCACATGGTAGCTGATAGAATTTACCCTCTCTGGAGGCCTATACTTCTCCAGAATGGGTAATCGCTTGAGTGCACCTCCGCTCAGCAGGAACTTGGTAGTGAGTGAGTCAGGACTCCCGTCTTCCTGGTCGGGCGTCTTACGTCACACCCGAGGCGCGACCCCATTGGTCAACCTGGCCAAGCCCCCGTCGCCGACCAATCATGCTCCACCTGACGCTGTACCCAGCATTCAATAGGAGTTCGTCTTGAGCAGAAAAGCTGTCCTCTTTCGCGAGCTGTGTCACCATATTTGATGATGGAGTCGTCTCCTAGCCTCAGCTCAAATAAACTTAAAATCGATATTTCTTCTAATTACAGCTTCTTGTTTTCTTTAAAGTGTTATAAAATTAACTAAAACTTGTAAATATTTACAGATAGAGAAATATGCCTCTTATATGCGGGAATAGGGGAATACAGGCTGAACTCCACAATAACTCTTACTTCCGTAACATTAATACTTCCGTAACATTAATACTTGCTTCAGGGTGTGACGCAATCCCAGTGAAGCACATCATGTGGGGTGACACAGAGTCCATTGTGGCGCTCAGTCTTGCTTCACTAGGCTTCATGGCGACCTGCTTCTCTATGGTGGTGTTCTTCAAGTATAATCATACACCAGTGGTCAAGGTTAGTTGCCGTGGGTTGCCATGTGTCAGTGTTCCCTGTTACTGCTGCGTATATCTGGTATATGATTGGTGTGTATGGTAAAGGGTCAGTGTTCCCTGTTACTTTTACAAATTTAGGGTTGCTTCACCAGGCATCTACTAGAGAGCTCTCCTACATCATCTTTGTGGGTATGATGGTGTCGTACTGCGCAACGCTGCCCCTCTTGGCTAGGCCTTCCACCCTGAGTTGCGCAGTCTCGCGGGTCATGCCAGGCCTCTCCTTCGCCATGATCTACGCCGCACTGGTCACCAAGACCAACCGCATCGCCAGGATCCTTGCAGGCAACAAGAAGATCATGATGCGTAAACCTCGCTTCATGTCCGCTACTGCACAGGTGAGGCCAATTCGACTGGGCTCTGTGGCGTCTTAAATATTTTTGTTATCTTGCAAGTAAGATATATATATATATATATATATATATATATATATATATATATATATATATATATATATATATATATATATATATATATATATATATATATATATATATATATTGTTGAATATGACCGAAAGGATAAGATTAATGATTCTAACATGAATCTTCTCAATATTTCTTGTTTTTCTTCACTGTCGGGGGTTGTTTGAAAAATTAACTCTCCAAAGTTCATTTTCACTTTTTATGACCCAGGGATGGCTTCTTAAACCTTGTTGGAATCAACCTCACTGAGGACCAAATCACTCTCTTAAATCTGAGAATAAACTGTCACATTATGTCCAGACCAAGTGAGATGGCCCGGAAAGTGGAGTTGGAGATCCTGTTGGAGGACATGTTTGACCTCGAGACGCAAAAAAGGTTACCACTAAGGACACCTTGCAAGTGGAACTTATTGCAGAAGGAGGAAAGATTCGAGGTAACTACAGAAGCACCATACTGTCCCTCGAGCTCAACGCGGCAGCTAAGAGCCTTCGTGAAAATAAGGAGAGAGTCGGCAGGAGAGGTGACAAGTTGCCAATATATGTTATTCTTAAGAAAGACAAATATCTGGCAAAAACGAACCTCATACTCTCCGAACCATCTGTCGTTAATAAATCACCCATCAGATAATAAAGTTATCTGTACATTATTTTCACAAATATTTTGGATAGTGTGGAGAAAGACTGATTTCGGCCTATAGTTGATGTCAGTGAGATATCCACTTTTATGGATTCGGGTTACTTAGCCTTTTCTAGCCTGAGGTTACTCTGGCTTTTATGAACAGAGATTATTGTGACCTTCTTTTTTTAGTTGATATCTCTTCCCAGGTGATCATCACGTGTATATTGATCAGCATTGAGGTAGGCATCATCACAACCATGCTCATCTTGGACCCCGCCGATGTCAAACACATCTATCCACGTCCTGAGGAGGTAAATTATCTGCGTTTCCTTATTATTATATCTGGAACAATATATATATATAATATATATATATATATATATATATATATATATATATATATATATATATATATATATATAGGCTTTAGGTACAGAGACTGTGGATAGTTACCTGTAAGATGTTAAGGACTATCTTGCAGGTAACTATCCACAGTCTCTGTACCTAAAGCCTACAAATTCCACTGATGTTAATGAGATAATCCTTTCCCTTAAAACCAAGTCTAGTGCCCTTGAGGAGATACTAACTTTAATTTACAAAAAAACTCCAGATCTTTAGCCCCTGCTATTGCATTGCTCTTCAACAAGTCACTTGAACTCCAAACCTTTCCAGATATTCTGAAAAAAGCGAGAGTAACCCCTGTCCACAAATGTGGTGATCTCACAGATGTTAACAACTACAGACCTATATCAATCCTCCCTAACTTGTCAAAAATATTTGAAAAACTAATCTGCAAGCAGCTTTACTTTTATCTAGCCAAACACAATATACTTAGCTCTTGTCAATATGGCTTCAGACCCAAAAAAAGCACTAACGATGCACTTATTAGAATGATTAACTTGATTTATGCAGCTCTTGATAAAAATGAGTTCCCTGTTGGGTTATTTGTGGACCTACGTAAGGCTTTTGACACTGTCAACCACCAAAACCTTCTTCTTAAATTACATCATTATGGAGTCAGAGGTCACTCCCTGCAATACCTCAAATCTTACCTTACTGACAGGCTGCAGTATGTTTCTGAGAATAATTCAATTTCTCCCACTCTACCCATCAACATCGGTGTTCCTCAGGGCAGCACACTTGGCCCTCTTCTCTTTCTCATCTACATTAATGACCTTCCAAATGCCTCCCAACACCTCAAACCAATTCTATTTGCTGACGATACAACCTACATTTACTCCTGTCCTGACCCCCCTTACTCTAAATGTCACAGTGAATACTGAGTTAAATAAAGTCCATCTTTGGCTAACTGCCAACAAACTCACCCTTAACATTGACAAAACTTTCTATATTCTGTTTGGCAATAAATCCTCTAATCAAATAAATCTCAGGATAAACAATACTCAAATTTGTAACAAAATAGATGGCAAATTCCTTGGCTTTCTCACTGACCACAAGCTAAATTTCCAGGGACACATTCTAAATATATCAAAAAAGTTTCAAAAACTGTTGGCATTCTTTCTAAGATCAGATATTATGTACCTCGCCCTGCCCTGGTGACGCTCTATTACTCCCTCATCTATCCATATCTCAATTATGGTATTTGTGCTTGGGGTTCTACTACCCAAAATCATTTACGTCCTCTAATTACTCAACACAAAGCTGCTATTGGGACAATATCCAACTCTGGCCCCAGACATCACTCGGTACCCCTACTCAAATCTCTGAATATGTTAGATATTAAGTCACTGCACATTCTCTCATGTGTATTATACATATATAAAACGCTGAACTGCAATGCCAATCCTGACCTAATCAAACTAGAAATGCTCTACAAATCAAGGGACCCAGAATGTGGAATGACCTTCCCAATCATGTTAAAGACTGTACCTCTCTCAACCAGTTTAAGATAAAAACGAAGCACTACCTAATAAATTCCCTGTAACCTACCTTACCCCTATATTGTCAACCCATGTCTTATTTTTTAAACAATGCTGTCTGTCGACCAAATTGTATTTGTGCTGCTTTTTCTGCCATGTTCCCCCCTTTTTTATTTTTAATTGCATATATATATATATATATATATATATATATATATATATATATATATATATATATATATATATATATATATATATATATATATGTCGTACCTAGTAGCCAGAACGCACTTCTCAGCCTACTATGCAAGGCCCGATTTGCCTATTAAGCCAGTTTTACTGAATTAATATATTTTCTCTAATTTTTTTCTTATGAAATGATAAAGCTACCAATTTCATTATGTATGAGGTCAATTTTTTATTATTGGAGTTAAAATTAATGTAGAGATATGACCGAACCTAACCAACCCTACCTAACCTAACCTAACCTATCTTCATAGGTTAGGTTCGGTTAGGTAGCCGAAAAAGTTAGGTTAGGTTAGGTTAGGTTTGTTAGGTAGTCGAAAAAACAATTAATCAGGAAAACTTGGCTTATTAGGCAAATCGGGCCTTGCATAGTAGGCTGAGAAGTGCGTTCTGGCTACTAGGTACGACATATATATATATATATATATATATATATATATATATATATATATATATATAATTTATATATATATATAATATATATAATTTTTGTATAACCTCTTGTATGTATGTACTTTACCTGAATAAACATTTATTTATTATTTATTTATTTATTTATATATAAATATATATATATATATATATATATATATATATATATATATATATATATATATATATATATATATATATATGTCGTACCTAGTAGCCAGAACGCACTTCTCAGCCTACTATGCAAGGCCCGATTTGCTTAATAAGCCAAGTTTTCATGAATTAATGTTTTTTCGACTACCTAACCTACCTAACCTAACCTAACCTAACTTTTTTGGCTACCTAACCTAACCTAACCTATAATAGATAGATTAGGTTAGGTAGGGTTGGTTAGGTTCGGTCATATATCTACGTTAATTTTAACTCCAATAAAAATAAATTGAACTTATACATAATGAAATGGGTAGCTTTATCATTTCATAAGAAAAAATTAGAGAAAATATATTAATTCAGTAAAACTTGGCTTATTAGGCAAATCGGGCCTTGCATAGTAGGCTGAGAAGTGAGTTCTGGCTACTAGGTACGACATATATAAATATATATATATACATATATATATATATATATATATATATATATATATATATATATATATATATATATATATATATATATATATATATATGTGTGTGTGTGTGTGTGTGTGTGTGTGTGTATTACCATGGAAGAAAAGTAGATTTAGAGTCTTTGTTACATGGTGTGTGGTGACTGAGAAACATTGTGTTACAGGTTAAGCTGGTCTGTAACACATCGCCACGAGGCATCATCGCCCCCATGGGATGGGACTTCTTCCTCATCGCCATGTGTACAGTCTACGCCATCAAGACGAGAAACTTGCCGGAGAATTTTAATGAAGCAAAATTCATCGGATTCTCCATGTATACTACCTGCGTCATCTGGGTAAGTATACATAGTTACTGACTCCATGTATACTACCTGCGTCATCTGGGTAAGTATACATAGTTACTGACTCATTGATCACCTCGTGACACTGGGAATGATATTCGTTTTAGTTCAACAAATATATGTATTCGATAAAATATTATATAACGGATCACATTTCGGTAATACGATGTGACGACATATATTGAATTTTGTAACTAGCTCATCAAGATTGTAACTTGCTTAGCTAAATGAATTGTGGGGTTCAGTCCCTGAGCCCATTATGTGCCTCTGTAACCCTTTCCACTACTGCCCACAAGATGGGTATGGGGTACATAATAAATGAACTAAACTAACGTTGTGAAAAATAAATTGCATTGGGCACTAAATATAAGTTAACTTTTCTAGAATAGATGGCGTGAAAGTAAGTTACCTTCTTTCCAACAGATGGCGTGGGTTCCCATCTACTTCGGCAGTGACCACAAGATCATCTGCATGAGTATGTGCACCTCGCTCAGTGCTCTCGTCACACTCGTTCTCCTCTTCTTTCCCAAGCTTTACATTATTCTTTTCAGGTAAGTAATGGGTAATATTACCTTATTTACCCGAGGGCCATTGTCTCTCTAGTGGCCTCGACGATGACAGGAAGCCAGCGACCCCCCATTTTCCTGTTGGTGACGCTTGCTACCCTGGATATTATTTTCACGTTAGGGAATTTTATAATTATTATAATGGTCTGGGTTCAAGTCCTAGCCAGGGAGGATTGACTGGGCGTCTGTCTTTAACTGTTCACCAGTTCACCCAATTGGGTATTTATTGGGTCGTGTTCCAGGAAAAACTAGCAACAAGAGGGGAAAAATCACTTAGTTACGGTTGAGGGGGGATGAGCTTCAGCTCTTGGTTCCTGCCACCTAACCCTCATTCAGTGTACGACGTCAGCCTCTACAGTTCCTCTTCCTAGTTCATGCCATTTCATCACTACTCCAACACTAAATAAAGTCCTCCAAATACCGCAAAGGCGAACTTGGGAACTTAGTCTGGAAGCGTTCTGTTGTTTGTGTTCCTCCCGTGGTCAGGAGTACGAATGACAACACAGATGTGCATTTGTACGCTCACATGTGATTGCGAGGCTGGGGGTCAAGCTCCTGCTCTTGTCCCTACCTCTCAACCAATAATTATCAAGCGTGATGCCATCCTCACCCCATACACTGTAACTGTACACTATATACATGAGTGTATGCCTGTATTTAATCGTACGTATTAATGAAATAAGTTGATGAAATATGATAATGTAACAGAGAATAATAATATTTATTGGGATTTTTCTTATTAAGATTCGCTAATTACAGACCAGAGAAGAATGACCGGTCAGCCTTCAAAACTGCCACAACAGTTCGGTGTCATATTGGGTCATCGAGCAAGGCCAGTCTGTCGAGACCCTCTGATCCCTCGCCAAGTGCTGCTATTGAAAGGTGAGGAAGTAGACATGAGAACAAAAGCTCTAAATAATTAATGGATTGTTTCGATGCCCAAGTCTGTGTTTGTCTAATATATTTTGTCATATTAACATGTGCATCAGTGTGCTATTCCCACTCACGGCTCTCTTACTGAAGGCAGATATTCTTATGTCACTATGACTCGTGGCAGTGGAGACCTCCTCCTGGTCCCACTCCTAGTGTCCCCTCCTCTGGTCCCACTCCCTGTGTCCTCTCCTCCTCGTCCCACTCCGTGTCCTCTCCTCCTGGTCCCACTCCTAGTGTCCCCTCCTCCTCCTGGTCCCACTCCTTGTGTCCCCTCCTCCTGGTCCCACTCCGTGTCCTCTCCTCCTGATCCCACTTCCTGTGTCCTCTCCTCCTGGTCTTACTCATTTTTACCTAATGTGTTCGTTCCTCTCCTTGTATTCTTAACGTCCTGGCTTCCTAAACCAGCCATTACATCCGGTCTTGTAACACTGAACCCTTCTCATCCCTCGAAAGACGCGTATTGCTCCACAGGAGAAGCTGCTCTTAAATTATGGATAGCCTGAAGATCACATTGTTGTTCCACCCCTCTCCTTGGGGCAGACTACCTTCACAAGCAACACTCAACTGCCCATCAAGGCACTCAAGCACCCTTCATGTCAGAACAATGGCCATTAACCTGGTCTTTCCTGAAAAAAATAGCATTCCGTGTGTACCTGATAACCATATTGATACTTTGATACTTTACACCAACAATACAGTATGTTGGTGGTAAATATCAATATAGTGTAAAAATATCAATAAAATATCAACAAATTGTATTGATTTGTTCGTTTAATACAGTCTCATTATGCAGTTCAAGGCATCAATGCTTCTTGTCTTTCTGTCCTGAAGATATGACCAGGGACCTGACCATCTTCCTGTATATCAAGAACCACCATTTTGTAATTTCATCTGTCATAAAAATCATATCATAAGAATATTTTATTTTCTTCATACATTTTCTGTAATGATTACTTTGTGCGTGTCTTCCAGCATGTACGTTGGGTCAGCTATGCTAGGCTTCGGGCAGCCGCAGCTCTCCCTCATGCAGAGGATCCGCTCCAGCCTGGGCATGCCCTTCATCCCACCCCTTGGAATTCTACCCAGAGACCCGAATCCTCGCTCCTTGCTTAGACGGGAGATCAGGTATGGCCGACCATCCAAATAACTCACACAGTTCAAGTACTGTGTTCATAAATATCAAAGAAAAGGCACAATTCAAAAGTCTGTTAATTATATTTATGCTAGGTCTGACTGGTCTATAACTGATATATATTTACAGTTCAATTTTATATTGACAATTAATTACTCTATATTCATATAATATCTGTATAAGAATATTACTTAAAGATTTGTGGGAAGTAAGGAGGGTATTGAACGTCCTACAGCGTGTGGAGTGACGCCAGCGGCAGCGTGGGCACCGCAGGCGGGACCAACAGCAACACCAGAGACATGATGCTGCGCAGAGCCTATGGTTCCCAACTCGACCTCACAGGTCAAATATATATATATATATATATATATATATATATATATATATATATATATATATATATATACATATATGTTTTATTCTCTCATGCCTTAAGCACGTGTGGTCGTCTTGCATGCATGGTCACTTGTGACTTTTTTCATACACTATATGTAAACACTGCTTGTATATGTTAGGGTTGCTGCATCTGAACTCAGAATCCAGGACACCTCAGAATCTCTGCTTCAAACCCAACACACAACTTTGGGTCTTCGGCGTAACACACATATCCAATCCTTGTGCTTATATATATATATATATATATATATATAATATATATATATATATATATATATATATATATATATATATATATATATATATATATATATATATATATATATATATATATATATATATATATATATATATATATATATATATATATATATATATATATATATATATATATATATATATATATATATATATGACTGAAAACTACCACCCCAGAAGTGACTCGAACCCATACTGCCAGGAGCAACGCAACTGGTATGTACAGGGACACCTTAATCCGCTTGACCATCACGACCGGACATAAGGAAGTGATAGCCGAAGCTATCACTTCCTTATGTCCGGTCGTGATGGTCAAGTGGATTAAGGCGTCCCTGTACATACCAGTTGCGTTGCTCCTGGCAGTATGGGTTCGAGTCACTTCTGGGGTGTGAGTTTTCAGTCGCATATAGTCCTGGGGACCATTCAGGCTTGTTTGCATTTGTGTTCCTCACGTGTGCCCCAAAGAATGAGGTGATTTGATAAAATGCTATGCCCAAGATTACCATCCGAGTGCCGGCGGGGGAGTGGTTCAAATAGCTTCGGCTATCACTTCCTTATGTCCGGTCGTGATGGTCGAGCGGATTAAGGCGTCCCTGTACATACCAGTTGCGTTGCTCCTGGCAGTATGGGTTCGAGTTACTTCTGGGGTGTGAGTTTTCAGTCGCATATAGTCCTGGGGACCATTCAGGCTTGTTTGCATTTGTGTTCCTCACGTGTGCCCCAAAGAATGAGGTGATTTGATAAAATGCTATGCCCAAGATTACCATCCGAGTGCCGGCGGGGGAGTGGTTCAAATAGCTTCGACTATCACTTCCTTATGTCCGGTCGTGATGGTCAAGCGGATTAAGGCGTCCCTGTACATACCAGTTGCGTTGCTCCTGGCAGTATGGGTTCGAGTCACTTCTGGGGTGTGAGTTTTCAGTCGCATATAGTCCTGGGGACCATTCAGGCTTGTTTGCATATATATATATATATATATATATATATATATATATATATATTAGTATATTTTGGTAGCAGTCTTTCCTGTAGACATATATTATTAAATATGACCGAAAAAGTAAGATTAATAATTCTAACACGAATTTTCTCGATCTTTGTTATGTTTCTTTTCACAGTTGATGGTAATTGAAAAATCAATTCTCCAAAATTCATTTTTAATATATATTTATATATATTCCGAACTTTTGGAGAATTTTTTTAATTCTTCCCGGATTGAAATTTTGACACCTGAATCCAGGACATGTCCTGGAAAATATGTACATATGACAACCCTAGTATATGCCCCACTAATAAAAGGAAGGGGAAAAAATCCTTAATTATATAATGACCTGTTGATCAGTATAGGAATCTTGGTCTTGAACGGCAGTTACAGCTGGCATTTGTCCCTCTTCAGGTGGCGATGGGTTGTGGACCCGAGAGGAGAGGAGTTGCCAGACGACAGACGACCTCCTGGACCCTCTCATACCCAGGCTGAGACGACGCGTGGCCCGGGCGGTGAGGGAGAACGAGATCGATGTCTGTGAAGGGCGAGAGTTCTTCAGCATCACACATAACTGGATGAACTCACAGGTGTGCCAGGGGGAAAAACAAGACAAAAAGATGGAATGATGAATTACCTTCCACCTCGATAGTGTAAATATATGTACAGTATTTTTTTTATTTTTCATACTAACGGCAATTATAATTGTTTTTATTTTTTATTATTGCATGGATAATTTATTATGTTATTTAAGTTAATCCTAAACCATTAAGTGTTGGGTAGTAATCTAGAAAAGTGTTGTTTTGCTTGGCTTTGTTTTGACAGTCTTGGTTTATTTTTCAAGGAATATAACATAAGAATGTTCATAAACAGGCGGTATATATTTAGCTTTACTGTTAAATAAATCATTAACATTTTTCATCCTGTCTAATCTCATACATTGTTTTTCAATGTATGTGTCATTGAGAATTTGGCTCACGGGACCCAGGTTCAGTTCCTTGGAAGGAACACTTCCTTTTACCTGATGCCGCTGTTCACTGAACAATAAAATAGATACCTAGGAGTTAGGCAGCTGTTGTCAGTTTCATCCTGTTTAAGGGGACCTCGATAAGCTTATATATAGGCTTGTTGTCTACCACAACGGGACATAAAAACTATATTTTATTTATTATTTATTATTTATATATATATATATATATATATATATATAGGTACATATGGTATAATATATAGAGTATATATATTAGTCGATGTTATACCACATTAGGTCTAATGTAAAGCCACTAACACGCATAGCGTTACAGGCAGGTCCTTAATCTAACATAATTTTTAGTAGGTAATTTCTAGCAAAATTAAGACATGTTAACAGGCATATTGTAAGAAAATTTGACGAAGAATAGTAGGTACATTATAGAAGATTAGTAGGTAACATTACAGAAGATTACTACGGTAAGTATCCATTATTATTAATTGTTCCGGGTTTAATTCCAATGTCGCAAGAGGCGTTTGAGCACATTTCCTTACACCTGATGCCTCTGTTCATCTAGGATCAACTGGGTAACTAGGAGCTAGGCATCTGTTGTAGATGGCATCATGTGGTAGGTCCGTTGTTGACATTTTTGGACTTGGTACAGATCTGAAAGTAACAGGAAAGCAATGAACGAAAAATATTAGAATAATTATAAAAATATAAATCATGTATTCATGAGAACTCGTACACCTCGTACTGCTCCAACGAGCAGTACCTCCTGATCGATGGGTGTGTCGACGACGCCGGTGTTGGTTTCTTTGGGGAGAGGCAAAAGGGTGATGGGTGCCAGGCTCCGGCCGAGACTGAGCGTCTCTGTATCCGTGGATGAGTTTCCGTCCATGTCAAGCCTACCCAGGAGGGAAAATCGACAACCAACCTGGGCGTATGAGTCATGTGGCTGGGACAGGCTCACATGCCTGTCCCTACGTATGCTAGTTCCTACTTGTGAAGAGGCCCGACAAGGGGGAACCTGGAGGCGAGAAGAAGCGATAGGCTGATTGAGGGTGCACATCCTCTGGAACAGCTCATGTCGAGGTGCCCCCGCTGTTTTATGATCGATGTCTAATTGGAGGGCCTCAAGGTATACAGGGCAACTCTTGGACGTAACCTTGTGATGGCCATGGCATAAAAAGCAGCGAGGTGCAGCAGAGCACCCACCGTTATCTCTGTCTGTATAACCTGTTTTGCCGCAGTTTGCACAGCGTGCTGCATTACGACAGGTGAGGCGACTATGGCCCAATAGATGACAAGCGTAACATTGTAACACAGGGAAGTTGTAGGGCTGAATCTGATAGGAGGTCCTGTGTAGTGCCACTCGGTCAGGGAGGGGCCCATCAAACTTTACACGGACCATGGATTCGGCCCTGCTGCTCCGCGAATCCTGGTAACTAACAATAATGCCGCTGATGCACCCCCTAATAGCTGCAGAGCGGCCTGGACATGTATCCAGGATCTACACTCTGGTCAATTGGCGCCAATCTTCCCATACCCGGGATAACCCGAGACTCCTCCTCCTGTGACAATACCTGTCGGCACCTGACAGGCCAGTCCCCCAACTTAATAATGTCGGATACACGGATGTGTGATAGAGCCTCCTTTCTGATGAGTAGCTTCAGTGCTGCACCCCTACCCAGGGTACGTATGGTCTCAGGCAGGCAATGTGGCCACAATACCGAAGCCTCAATTGCTGCACCTAAGGTACGAGGATTTACAAACATGCACCGACCTGATTCTGACTGGATTAGGACAACCACAAACGAGGAACGGGGTACCACAAGAGGAAGGTCTTCTGAAGGCGAAGACATCCTCTTAGCATCTCGCTCTGGGGCAGCATCAGCCGACTCATTTTCCAGCAGACGTTTTCCTCTCTGGGACTTGCTGTCAACATCCATGGCGCCCCCGCTCGGGTCCATTAGGGAGGCTCCGGCCTCCCCCGGTGCTGTGAGCCCCTGGGGTAGCTGCAGTGAGCACACACTGGCCCAAAGAAGCCAGCTGAATTCAAAGACGAGCTCCAGGTAAGGTGTGGAAAGAAAGTCCAGCCACGAGCATTCAATCCGCGCGCCAAGATGGCCGACCTTCCTCATATCACAGATATTAGCGTTATGCCTCTAATATAGTACATGAACATATGTGGTGTTTACAAGCTCAGGTTTCAAGGGGAAGTTTTTTTACAGGTCACTCTATAATGTATAGAGGAAGCATCTATAAATAATATGAATAAAATAGATTTTGTATTTTTCCTTTTAAATAGACTATACATAATACTGCAAAATTTACAACTATTATTAATAACATTACTGATAGAATTTCATCAGTGATAAGCATATTTGTTCTTAAATTTGTAATATTCACAATCTTGCTTATTTTTGTACTGTACAGAAATTTCAAATATTATTTCCCACACAGTTTACATATACAATTTTTGCAACATTAGACAGTGCCTTTACAATTTGTTTAGTGCCGTATTTTGCTGAGATTATTCTGCTTTAGAATGGCCCAAAGTTTTTCATTGAGTGTGTTTATTAACTCTTTTGATTAATGTGAGCAACATTATTGCAACAGTCCTGTTAACAGTATTTACAGCAGTCCTCTATTATACTTGCATCAAAATTATATTTCTTAACCAAACTGTTGGCCTGCAATGATAATATTTTAGGTAGTAATCTATTAAAACTAGTACTTAATATATATATTAAGTAGTATACATTACTTAGTGATTAAAAATATCTGGGTAATATACATACCCCAGACAGTATAATGTTCAATAAAACAAAGTAATTAATCTAATTGCACTTGCTATTTTAAAGCTTGTAGAGTATTTATGTGATTGAGTGAAACACGTGGTTCTCTGACTCAGGCTGAGGCTGCCCGGACTGCGATGCTGGGGAACGACAGTCAGCGGAGCAGCGAGGCCGATGACCGACCAACCACCATTATCAGGGAAGACCTCGTATTGGAAGATAGAGAAAGCAGGATCAAAGAACCAATGACAACTTTAATGGAAAATGGTGTTGACAATGAAACTGAGTGTTCATATTTAATTAAACAATCTGGTTCTTTGCAGGAAATAGCAGAATCATCAGTTTACGAAAAAAGACATGGCATAAAATTCCCAATCTCTGCAAAATATATGACTGAAAAAAACAAAATTCAAATTCCAGATCAGGTTGAGAGAGAGATTCGTTTTGAAGACTGTGGTCAAAGTGTACCCGCAGAGGAAGGATGCAATCACAAGTGCTTTCCTCTAAACAGCGTGCAAGACAATTCCATTAGTGGTGAATGTAATTCTTCACCAGAAAAACTACCTACCTGTGTTGAAAATCAAAGTGAGTGTTCAGTTCATAAACAAACTTGCACAGATTCTCAATTTGTTAACTTTATTGGGTATGGTTCAGTGATGTCAAGTTCTAAAGACGTGAGTTGGGCTAAACAATGTCCAGTTAGTTGTGATAGCAGCATAATATTCAAGAACAAAATTGTACCCTTTAACCAGTCTACTCAAACAGAAATATCCCATGATAAACATGGTTGGGTTTCAAACGCGGACGGGAGAAATCTTGCGGTAGCAGCCAATGAGAATATTGGAAAAATGGATCTATATCACCGGAAGAGAAAGGTGGGAGTGTCAGCCCGAGTGTCAGACGTTCGTGGCATCCTCAAGTCAGTAAGATTATCTCCAGCAGAGAGGGAAACGAGGGTATCATTTAGTTCTCAGTTCTCTCCTCAAGGGGTTACTGCTGACGACGAGCCCCTCTCACCGACACTATTGGATGAAGATGCCGAGGCCCGTAGTGAAGCTGCAGTCAAAGAGGTTCCGCGTCAGGCTTTAGCATATGATAACATATGTGGACACAAACAGTCAACGTCAGAAGAAACTTCCTTTAGCATCCTTGAAGAAGCCCTTAGTGCTGAAAGTGATATTGAAGCTTCAGATCATTGTGAATTAAAAACTATAATTATTAGGTTAGGTAGTGATGAGGCAGATGTTAATATCCCATCAATGACCAAATCAGAAGTAAATGGTAATGTAATTAACTGGAGACCAACTCTAGGCAAAAATCATAAATTGCTGCCATATTCCTCAGCAAACTTTAGTTATGATAATCCTTCAGTAAATACAGATACCGAAGTTTTGTACAATGTTGAAGATGTGCGAGGCGTGACTATGTCTGGTGTGTCTTCGGGAAGTAACTTTAACGTGCATGAAGGGCAGGAAGACCCAAGCAAAAAATATGCGAGAGAAAATGAACTAGTTATATTAGACTTGCTACATAGCACCTTCCCACAAAAGTATTATAGTACTCAAGGTTCACAGTCTCATTGTGCCTCAACCACATTACAAAATTCCAATATTGATTTGCCCACATCTAGTAATACTCCTGAAGACTCAGGCTCTCTCTCAGTTAAATGTCTCACTATAACTCCTCCAGAACTCTACAGAAATACCCCACCAAAACACATCCCTCCTCAAGAACCAGATACACTCGACCTTTCATACTTCAGTCAACCCATTCCATCACACAAATCACAATCTATTTCTGAAATCGAAGAGCACAGTCATTATAACTCTCAATTACTGAACCCTGTAGTTGAAGATTACTGCATAGCAAACGTCGCAAACTCTCAAGACATAGAAATGGAGCCAAAGTATATTTCCTCTTCGTTAAACTCTGTTGTACATGAAACTTCACCCGTACCACTCACCCCTTGTTTCAAAACATATCAATGCCAGTCTTGTGCAGAAGTCCCGTCCTATGTTAGTCCAACACCCAGTTGCCACACTGCCTCCACAGCACAGTATCCCGCCGTGGAGGAAGACACACACACAGATACCAGGTTATGTAGAACTGATACCGACGACGACACGGACGAAAGTACAACGCCTATTAAGGAATTCTTCCGAACTCATGGCATTAAATTTGATGTTACTTCGACGAAATCAAAAAAACTGTAAGTGATATTATCCTTAATTTTGACTTTACAATGTTCTTAAGGACTTTTCTTTTAGAATAAAGCGGCTACTTATATACAATTGTATAAACTGTATACCAAAAAAGTGACCAGTTCACTGGTCACTTTTGACCTACTTCCACATTTTCATCAGTAATGTATAATACACTCGACTTTGTATTATTCTACTTAGCTTCTCTTTATGAAAGTCTGAAAAGTCAGACTTTGATGAAGCTCATTTGCTCAATATGAGACACTGTCATTCAAAGTTCATTTATTTGTAAACAATCACAACAGATTTGTATAGATTACTTAATGTGACATATCAGTAGTTAGCAATCAAAAACTATTTTTAAATGTCACTCTTCCATGTTGTGAAGCTCAGAGCGTTCCTCACTACAGCTGTTTTCTTGTGTTTTATTAAACACATAAATTTTTACCGTGCCAAAGACAACAATTTTTACAAAGAATTTGCAGATACCCGTGATTGTACCCTAGCTCACTGCCTGATTGTTCTATTCATGTTCCTAATTTTAAGAGTAACACTAATTGTATACATACATACGTAATTATACCTACATATATTCATACATACATACACATACATACATACATACATACATACATACATACATACATACATACATACATACATACATACACTTTAGCTCTGCTTGGGACATCTTCAGAGACTGAGAGACAGACGTGGTCAGCCCCCGACTCCACACAGCCAGACCCAACCCATCCTCCTAAGAAATTGAAATAAGTTTATTAAGGTATAAATACAGACAAAGAATGAGGTAGCTCAAACTATTCTCGCCCCGTTATCCTCCTAAGATGACAATACTTATATGAAGTATTTGGTGGAAAGTACCAATATGTAGTGATAGACCACCAGTTTAGTTTAGTTCATTTATTATGCACCCCATACCCATCTTGTGGGCGGTAGTGGAAAGGGTTACAGAGGTACATAATGGGCTCAGGGACTGAACCCCACAATTCATACCAGAAAGGTTAATTTCGTTTTATTAATTTAATTTGGACAAACCGGAAACCTTTTTAACCGCAACATAAATATAAGACCTAACCTAACTGTCTTAGTAATCCTAGGCCTAATTCATGCTATATTAGGCCTAATATGGTACATATATGTCCTAATATTCAAGGTTGGTTTTTGGCTTTAGTTTTGTGGATTATAAAATTAAATTTACAAAAAGTGGTTTACTGGCGGGCCATCACTGTACATATTGGTACTTTCAACCCAATAGTCACTATAAGTACTATCATACCAGAAGGATGGGTTCAGACCGGAAGTGGTAATAAAGGTACATACTGTAATAAACATTATATAATACAAAGTTAAAAAAAAAAGTGCTTGGTATAAGGAGCCATAATTAAAAGTACAATCTGAAGCACAAACAATTGCCAGGAACGACAATCGCGTACTTAACACAATTACAAACTTCTGAATAAGACAGGTTATTGACGCCCTCGAGACAGGGGGGTCGAACCTGGTACTTTCGTACCCAATTTTTGTGCATGTCTTGCTATTTGGTACTAAGCGTTGATAGACACCATGTGATAGACAAGTTGGTAGACACCATGTGATAGACAAGTTGGTAGACAAGTTGATAGACACCATGTGCTAGACACAAGATAGACACAATGACAGACACCATGTGCTAGACACATTAAGACACCATGTGCTAGACCCAAAATAGACACGTTGATAGATACGAGCTAGACACTCCCACGAAGAAAAATGTGCAAAAGTCAAGTCTAAACACAAAGTGTCTTAACAAAATATTGCTTGATAAATGATTTTGCGAGTGGGTCGTTAAGAGAGACCAGATCAGAGTATTTTGTAAATAATTTTAACGTACGTGAGATACAAGGGAGTATTGCACGAAACGTATCATCTTTTTATCAATATTATTTTTACTTGCGTGGTAAATTGTGAATTTTCAACTTTTTTATATAATAATTTTGGTACATTCACTAAACAACCCGTCCTCGACTTAAGTTCATTACATCCAGCGGTCGACCCCACAGACGTATTCATAACTTTTAACATGCTGTTTATTTAAAACGGGAATTTTCTCAAATATAAATTAATATTATAATATATTAGCATATTGTGCACATATATAAGCATAGGTTAGGTGTTTAGGTTCTGTTAGCGATTATTTGTATTTGTAGTACGTGGGTGAAGCATTTATAGCGTTGTGATTCTTTTTTTTTTTTTTTTTTTTTTTTTGAGATATATACAAGAGTTGTTACATTCTTGTACAGCCACTAGTACGCGTAGCGTTTCGGGCAGGTCCCTGGAATACGATCCCCTGCCGCGAAGAATCGTTTTTTCATCCAAGTACACATTTTACTGTTGCGTTAAACAGAGGCTACAGTTAAGGAATTGCGCCCAGTAAATCCTCCCCGGCCAGGATACGAACCCATGACATAGCGCTCGCGGAACGCCAGGCGAGTGTCTTACCACTACACCACGGAGACTGTTAAACAAAACAGAATTCGAATTCGAACAAAATTCGTCAGTGAAGCACTTGTTCCGGATATGTTCGAACGTCAGCAGTTGTGAGTCGTGTGTAAACCGCTTTTCATTCATAAACAGGGGGTTTGGCGGGTGCATGGAATCACTTTTGGATCTTTGTTTGGAGGACGGGCTGCGACCCCACATACATATTCATAAACTTTTACATGCTGTTCAGTCAAAACGGGAATTTTCTCAAATATAAACTAATATTATAATATATTTGCATATATAGGCATAGGTTAGGTCAGGTGTTTTGGTTCTGTTGGCGATTATTTGTATTTGTAGTACGTGGGTGAACCATTTACAGCGTTGTGGTTCGAACAAAAGTCGTCATTGAAGCACTTGTTCCGGAAGTGTTCGAACGAAATCAATTGCGAGTCGTGTGTAACAGCCCGTCCTCCAAATAAAGATCCAAAAGTGATTCCATGCACCCGCCAAACCCCCTGTTTATGAATGAAAAACGGTTTACACACGACTCACAACTAATTTCATTCGAACACTTCCGGAACAAGTGAATCACTGACGAGTTTTGTTCGAACCACTTCGCTATAAATGCTTCACCCACGTACTACAAATGCAAATAATCGCCAACCGAACCTAAACACCTAACCTATGCCTATATATGCACAATATGCTAATATATTATAATATTAATTTATATTTGAAAAAATTCTTGTTCTGAATGAACAGCTTGTTAAAATTTATGGATGCGTCTGTGGGGGCGACCGCTGGATGTAATGGACTTGAGTCGAGGACGGGTTGATAAATGCTTCACCCACGTACTACAAATACAAATAATCGCCAACAGAACATAATCACCAAACCTATCCTAACCAATGCCTAAATATGCTAACATATAATAATATTAATTTATATTTGAGAAGAGTTTTGAATGAACTGAATGTTAAAATTGATGAATGCGTCTTTAGGGTCGACCGTTGGATAGAATGGACTTAATCTGAGGAATGGTTGATATAACGTGGGTCGGAACAAAGGAGAATTAAAACCTTTATGGAAATGCCAACATATTCCTTGTATTCAACAGTATTTAAATACAATTTAATGAACTATAAAGGCTCAATATTCAGCTGATGGTGTATAACCCATTCAACGTAATTAATTATTAAATTGACTGCCACCAGCAATGCCAATCTCAAAGGGAACGAGACACATATATAAAATTGTTGGAAGAGAGCGATAGAGATATAGATGAACAGACACAGAAAGAAAGACACAGAGACAGACAACAAAGCCTGGTGCCCCTTCTAGAGTGAGAGAGAGTGAGAGAGAGAGAGAGAGAGAGAGAGAGAGAGAGAGAGAGAGAGAGAGAGAGAGAGAGAGAGAGAGAGAGAGAGAGAGAGAGAGAGAGAGAGAGAGAGAGAGGGAGGGAGGGAGAGGGAGGGAGAGAGAGGGAGAGAGAGAGAGAGAGAGAGAGAGAGAGAGAGAGAGAGAGAGTGTGTGTGTGTACTTACCTAATTGTGCTTGTGGGGGTTGAGCTCTGGCTCTTTGGTCGGGGCCTATGAGTGTGTGTGTGTGTAATTACCTAAGTGTAGTTACAGGATGAGAGCTACGCTCGTGGTGTCCCGTCTTCCCAGCACTCTTTGTCATATAACGCTTTGAAACTACTGACGGTCTTGGCCTCCACCACCTTCTCACCTAACTTGTTTTAACCGTCTACTACTCTGCGAAAGTTAATTTTCTTATATTTCTCCGGCAGCTTTGTTTCGTTAGTTTAAATCTATTACCTCTTTGATCTTGAAGTTCCGGGTCTCGGGCATTCTTCCCTATCAATTTTATCGATTCCTGTTACTATTTTGTACGTAGTGATCATATCTACTTTTTTTTCTTCTATCTTCTAGTTTTGGAATATTTAATGCCTCTAACCTCTCCTCGTAGCTCTAGTCCTTCAGTTCTGGGAGCAACTTAGTGGCATGTCTTTGTACCTTTTCCAGTTTGTTGATGTGCTTCTTAAGATATGGGCACCACACAACCGCTGCATATTCCAGCTTTGGTCTGACAAAAGTCGTGAACAATTTCTTTAGTATTTCACCATCCATGTATTTAAATCAATTCTGAAGTTAGAAAGTGTAGCATAGGCTCCTCGCACAATGTTCTTAATGTGGTTCTCAGGTGTGTGTGTGTGTGTGTGTGTATTCACCTAGTTGAATTCACCTATTTGTTCTTGCGGGGATTGAGCTCTGCTCTTTCGGCCCACCTCTTAACTGTCAATCAACTGTAACTAACTACTAACTAATGTTCCCCCCCCCCACACACACGCATACATACATACACTTACACACACACACAGGAAGCAGCTCTGTAACAGCTGTCTAACACCCAGGTACCTATTTACTGCTAGGTAACAGAGGCATCAGGGCTGAAAGAAACTTTGCCCATTTGTTTCTGCCTGGGTCCGGGAGTCGAACCCGGGCCACAGAACTACGAGTCCTGCGCGCTGTCCACTCAGCTACCAGACCCCATGTGTGTGTGTGTGTGTGTGTGTGTGTGTGTATGTGTGTGCTTGCCTAG